CTTTGCATGTCACTCAGTGCAGAAGTTGTCAGAGATGGCAGGAACCAGCAGTTAGGAAAGGGAGCACCTAGGACACAGTGTTAGTTGCTTTATGCCTAAATGACAATTGAGACCTCAAAAGCAATTCTGATTGAACTCTTTCCATCACTCATTATACTGGCAGAACTTTTTTTTTTTTTTTTTAATGATTTCATCCAGAACTTTTAACCTTTCCTTCAGCAATTGAAGCCTTAAGCTATTGTTCAAAGTGTTATCACATGAATTTTATTGCTTACTACACAGCATTTGGATGCACTTCTGAGAGAATCTGAAGCTTGTGGAAACTTCAGCAGACACTTTTCAATATATGCTCCATGTGCTGGACGATGCCAAGAGAGAGTTCATGTCAAAAACCATTCTCCACTGGCTGTTTCTGATTGCTTCTGCTAGTCTTCCTCCATGTAATAAACATAAGCAATGAAACGGAGGAGGCAAACAGTACAAATCAAGCCAAATTAGGTTAGAGAAGAAGTAATCATTTTAAAATTAGAAAAAAAAAATAGTTTTCTCCCAGTTTCATATGTCTACATTCTGAAAATATGCTGCTTACCCCACATGGGACTAAAATAAACAAATTTAAATAAACCAAACAAACATTTTTAATTATATAAAGAGGTCTTTTTCTGCAAGGTAAAATTTTAAACTACTCAATACATCTTGCTGGAGTAGAATCCACTACTTAAAGAAAATACCAGAAAACTCAGCACTGTTCTATTTTCTGCTTGAAAGTACCTGCAATAGAGCAAGTAATGTTCAGTTTAGGCTCAGAAATTGAATAAAAGTAGATATTACAAGAAGAAACAAGTGAATTTTAGCAAAACAAGATATGGCAAGGTAGTTAGTAAAAACTGGCAAAGACCAGCTGTAAACTCGTAATTGTCCCATTTGTGAACATAATTACTATGCACGTTGTAACAACTGCAGCAAATTCTATGCATGGTTTCTGTATATTTTAAAAGGCTGAACACAGATTACAGGAATTTTAGTAAAACAAATGTGCACGTACCAAGTTTGTGCTGTAGAATTCTGCATATACTGACTGGGTACACACAACAGTAAATACACAAGGGTCCTGTAGAGAAACCTGAATTCAGCTCTGCTCTGTTGGCTTCAAACTTTGAGAGAGATCATTTGTTTGAGAGTTTGAGAGCTCATTTTAAAATAATCTCGTACAGCATCAAGTTTCATACATGAATAAATGTGTTCTTACACGTTTTTGGTACTAATCCTACCATCCCAAGACTGGCTCTTTTTCCCATTTAAGAACTCTGGGTAAAGTCCCAGGGACAGATATTGGGCATTGCATACAGTTCGTGTTGGTTTCCTAATAAGAACTTTTCCTTTTCCTTTTCCTTTTCCTTTTCCTTTTCCTTTTCCTTTTCCTTTTCCTTTTCCTTTTCCTTTTCCTTTTCCTTTTCCTTTTCCTTTTCCTTTTCCTTTCCTAATAATGAAAGCTACTCTTCCACGTCTGTCAGGAAAATTTATCTCCAAAAACAGTCTCAGTCTCAGGCAGAGACTATTATAGGCTGTGCTTGCATGGGCTGAACACGGTGTATTAGTCAGTCTCTAACATAAAGATCGGGAAACATCTGTGTTTGCAAAGCTTCCATGTAAAAATCGCACTTAATGCAAACTGTTTAACAAAAGCAAACTGTGGTTTTGAGACCGTATATCTGGAGGATTACAAACCTTTGTTAAACCAAGTCCTGCTAGTTCCTGGTGGTCATTATAATTACACATCCATTGTCAGGTGCTAAAAGAGATAAAACAGCATGAGAGAAGCAATCACAGATAGCAACAAAATGAACCATAGGAAAACATTTAAGACCACATGATAACAGGCTATGAGGCATTGAGGAATGCTGAATGCAGAGAATGGCCAATTCAAACCGAGAGCAGCTCTTATTTTATTCGGGTATTTCAGTAATCAGCAAGAAAGCTGTGTTACTGTCTAATGAGGTGCTGGAGCACCGAGGGCAGGGAGTGGGGGGGCTAGTGTCTGAATCTGACACCTTCTTTAAAGCTCTTTCTTCAGAGTTTATCAAGGAGAATAGTTAATTCTTGCAGGGTGCCGAGTCCTGCACAAGGGTGAGCTGACGGGTGGTTTTACTGTTCCATTAGCAGATCTCAGCAAACCTATAAACCGTGCTTCCCCGCTAAAGATGCAGAAACGCCTGCAAAGCCCATCCTTCCCCTGTAAGAACGAGAGACATGAGCATCCAGCAAGGAATTTCTAGTGAAGAAGGGAGCAAGCACTCCCAGGTGGCAGTAAGAGAGATGCAGGTGCTGGGTATTCACCCTGCCCATAATCCATTCAACTCAAGGCAACTCCCTTCTGATTTTTATTTCCAGGTAGATCTTATATCCAGACACAACAACCCATGAAGCACACACACCAAGGCAATATGCCTGTGCCAGCATCTCTCTCACAAGGGGGGCATCTGCAACAAGCATTCTCTGTGACAGGGATGTATGGACATCCTCAAGATTTTGGGGGATTTTTTGTATTGCCCTTTCAGCGCCTCTCAGCAGGCTGCTTCAGCCATGGATTTCAGTCATACAACCCCTCTTCAACTTCAAACACACAAAATAATATATATAATTTTTTTTTTAATTGTGTTTTCAAGTAGATTCACTCTGCAGGACATGTGGTTTTTTTTACATACAGAATGAATTCTGTCTTGAAAATATATTCCGATTTTCCCCTAACTATTCTGAGAATATGTAGATAACTCCTCTAAGCATCTTTCTGTGCCCCCAAGGAGAAATATGACTGGTAGTTGAACCACAGGGGAGCTACGATCTCCAGTTTTATCTATGCCTGGCTAGATGTGCCAACATCACTGCATTGCCCATCACCTTTTATAAAAGGAGCACATCGACTTCATAAGAGGAAGGAATTAATGGAGGCCTGTAATACTGTAATGCAAACAGGTGTATTAAAAAGTGGAAAGTGTCACCATATTAAAATGACTGTTTGCTAAATACCAGTTTTTATGTATGTAAATTAGGTGGCAGCAGAAATAACTCTGCAATATGTTGACTAGGAAACACCCTTGAAATAAAGTTCTTATCCAGCACACGTAGGCTTCATAAGCCTTTTTTCCAATACCATCATTCTAGAGCATATATTTGACCTCTTTCACATCTCCTAAGTAGAGGACTCTAAAATCTATAATCTCAATTACTGTCTTAATAGACTGTCTTCAATTGTTTTTTTACCTGTTGACCTGCAGGATAAAGCTATTTAGAAGAGATGTTATTGTGGAGAGCACTGCCATAATGAAAATGCTGAAGGACAAAAAAATCCAATAAGGAGACTGGAAAACACATTCGGAAGCACACTGCTCAAGTTTAATTTATTCACTGTGCATACTGTGAAACATCTGGGTGTCTTTAATGTACAATCAGGTGTTAACTTTGTAGCAGCTATTACAGTCAGCAGTTTGTGGGAAGTTTGATAGAAAGCAAATTGTCTGCCTAACTGATCCCATAGCACAAAGTCTTTGAATCAGAAGACAGTTTAGCACTAAAATGCAGAAGACAGGGAAGAAAGCACATTTAACTGCTGTGTAACCTTCCTATGCCTGTGTCTTTTGTTTTGCAATCCTGTAATTTTCAGAGTATTTCATGTGCAGCCATGCATCCAAATGCACCACAGCATTTAAGTTTTACCAAGTAATCTCAGCTCGCCTGATTTCAGTCCTGTAGGGCACAGGATAATGGCTTACTATGCTGGTTAGCTTATAGTAAAAAATTACTTCTTCCTTTCTCTAGAGGAAACTGCCACAGAATTTGTGTATTGCACTAACATTTAGAGGACTACTGGAAAGATGGGGAAGGACTCTTTTATGAGGGAGTGTAGAAACTGGACAAGGTGTAATGTCTTTAAACTAAAAGAGGGGAGATTTAGGTTAGAGGTTAGGAGGAAATTCTTCCCTCAGAGGGTGGTGAGGCCCTGTCCCAGGCTGCCCAGAGAAGCTGTGGATGCCCCATCCCTGGAGGTGCTCAAGGCCAGGCTGGATGGGGCTTTGGGCAACCTGGGCTGGTGGGAGGTGTCCCTGCCCATGGCAGGGGGTTGGAAATGTGTGGGATTTCAGGTCCCTTCCAACCATTCTGTGGTTCTATGATTTCAGCGTAAGACCATTTATTATCTCCTTTGCAATCAGTTACTCCCCTTCTTGCAGCAGCAGCTCAGACCTTAGGAAAATAAAATATTCTATGCAAGGAACTACTCTCGCACAGCCCCTCTTGCTCCATCCCTTTGCGCTGCAGAATTGTTTCTCTCAGTGTGAATAACAAGTTGTTCCTCATAAATCACAGGTATCAGATGACTTTGCTTTCAAATCCCAACTGCTCTAAGTCTCACGCATATAATAAATGGTCACTCTTACAAAGAAAACTAAAACATAAGGATGAAAGCAAAGAAGCAAACAAGTATTGTATCAGACTTGAAATGCGTGGCCATTAGTTAAAAAGTGTCTTATAAAAGACCAGTACTAGTTAGGAGGTTGAGGTTGCTGTTACAGACCCACTTAACCAGCCGTAAGCACACCTGGAAGACAGGAAGAGCAGCGCTGCCCAACCAGCTGCACTACCAGAGCCTAAATTTACTCCTTTTACTCGTACAGCACACCCCAAAGCCATGTTGGAATAATTAAGTTAAATCTTGGAGAAGTTAGTGGGTCAAGAGGCAATGCTGAACTTTGGTTCTCCACCATCTGTGTCATCACCAGGTGAGCCAACACCTAAACCTTCATGGTTGGAATCATGGAATGACTGAATTATGGGATCACAGAACAGTTTGGGTGAGCAGGGACCTTAAGAACCACCCAGTCCCACCCCCGCCACGGGCTGGGGGCTGTGAGGGAACATGGAGCCCTCCCTCCTCCTCCTTCCCCCTTCAGGGCTGCCCGCGGCCGGGCGCAACCGCGCCTGCGCGGCCAGTGCTGCGGCGGGAAGCGGGAAGCGGCGGGAAGCAGCGCGCAGGCGCGGAGGGCCAGAGCCGCCGGGGCGCTGCGTTTCCCGCCGCGCCCGCGCTGATTGGTTGGCTGGCGGCGAGCGGCGGCGGCCGGCGGGTAGGTGCGGGGGGCTGCGCACTAATGGCGGCGGCGGGCGGGTGGGCAGTATAGGGAGGGGTCTCTCCTCCTCCGCCTCGCTTCCCCTCAGCACGGCGTGCTCCAGCTGCCCTGGCCCCAGCTCCCAAGGGCTGGAGAGGGTCCCAAGCAGATTTACGGCGAGAGGGGGGTGGTCTCAAGGTCTCCTGGTCTCCCTGGAGGCGTTGCCGAGAAACCTGGCTGGTTTTAATCGCTGGGTGTGCTCTGGGTGCCCTGTGCGGCCGTTGGGCACAGCCTGTGAAAGAGGGGCCTGCCCATGGCAGGGGTTGGACGAGGTGATCTGTAAAGATCCCTTCCTACCCCAACCACTCTGTGATTCCCGATATTAAATCCTCTTCTGATTTGCACTCGAAATCTTCCTTCCTTATTCCAACAACTCAGTAAGGGATGGCTAACAGGAGCCACAGTCCTCTCTTTACCCTGTAGCAAACTTGGGATTCACAGGCTCAAAAACCCGGTGTTAACAATATCTTATAGGTAATTATTGTGTTTTTCCACCTCACCTGATTGCTTCAGTTATTTATGTTACTAAAAAGTGTATTTATTTCTAAGAATTACTTATTTATGTTACTGAAAAGTTTCCAGGTGTAATGCTACCTCATGTTGGTGTTAGTGCTACCTGGATTGTGCACTGTGAAAACATCTTTGATTTCTATAACAAAACTATCTTTTAAAAGGTTTTATTGGTTTATTTCAGGACAGTGTTTTCACGGATGAAAATATCTGAAGATCAAACACAAATGTATTTATTTTTTATTTAGTAGAGTGGCTTTGGGGCAGGCTATGTATCAGGCTGAAAAAAAGCTTTGTTTTTTCTTCTGGCTGCATGGAAAAAAATGGAAGTCGTAATTGTGAGGAAAATGGGAAATAATCTGCAAAACCAGCAGATCCAGGTTCCACAGTAAAATCTACTGGCAAATATGATTTGAACTGGCTGCTTAAGAAAACTCACACAAAAAATTGTCAACAACATTATAGCAATATTTGTTTTTTTTATAGCTGTCTTTGCTTATATCGCTTACGTTCAATTTTCTGTTTTTCATGTTCTCGTAGAAGTTGATTGTTCTGTGTTCCCAAAGATGAAGAGAAAAGTGGCCAAAGTTGGGAAATTGAGGCTTAGTCCTAATGAAGAAACCATGCTTCTGAAAGAAGAATATGAAAGAAGAAGAAAACTGAGGCTACAGCAAGTATGCCTCTATTTTTTCAAGTTGTCTATTTCATTTAAAGATGTAACAAATAATTTTGGAAAATCAATCCAATTTTACTTCATATAAGTTAACTTTTTGCAGTGTAGTAACGTTGGGTTTATATTTAGCTTGTGGAGTAGTTTCTGTTGTTATGTTCATTTGCTAGTAAATAGATCTTCTTATGATACTGTCTCCATTAGATTCACACCAGCCCTGTTCCAGAACCTCTTCATCCCTGCCAACTTCACTGTATCTATCTTTTTAGTTTGTTTTTGTGTATCAACATAGAGATACCTCTTTTTACTGATGTGTTACACAGCAATAATTGAGAAGAAATAAGCCACTTGTGGCAAATACAAACCTAGTTTTCTACTAGATCAACCAAATTGTGACAGTGTCACAGTTCTTAATGGTTTAAATATTGCTCCTTTTAGAATTAACCTGTCTGTTCCTAATCTCATGTTTCTTTTATTTCTGTTATGCTGTGCTGCTGTTAGGACACAAGGCTATTTTTCCATTTCTTTTTACTTTTTACCCCTTAGCCTTCCGCTGTGCTGTCCTCCAAGGCTTTAATTTAGCAGTATAATTGCCGTTTCTCTTTAGAGTGTGTTGCATCATAATGAGAGTCTAACAAATTAATGTGTTATATTTTTGGCAAGAAGTCTATTTCAAACAGTTATTACACTTAGTTTATCAGCTGTGTGTTGCTCTCTCACTTTAAGTAAAACTTTTAACTTTGAGATTAAATTTAGTATATGATACTGATTTTGGAAGTGTAATGGCAACTTTAAAGTATTTTCTGAACAGATTTTTTTTAATGTATCCTTCCATCTAATCTTCAGTTACAAGGAGGGAGTGTGTATTGTGGAAGTAATTGTTGCAAAAAACACTGTGCTTTTACTAAGTTACTGACAAAACATAAATGCTATTTCTACAGGTTAGAGAGCAGCAGAAGTACATTGCCTTACAGATAAGACAGAAAGTAAAGCAAAAGAGGGAAGAACAGCTGCATCAGTTGGAGGAGACATTAAGAGCTGAATGGCAGAAAGAACAAGATGAGAAGATAAAGGCCTTAGAAAAACTGTTTTTATCAAGCTTAAGAGCTGTTGGTGAGGGTCATCGACAAGCCAAGGAGAACGTAAGTACACAGCTTAATGTTGCAACAGATATACCCTGGTATTCTTGAAATAACAAGGTTGCATTTTTTTATATTCCTGGTTCTTAGAGTCCTAATATTTGGAAGGTAGAAATGTTTTAAATGTTTACGTGTGTTTTTTTGCAGATGTTTATCCATGAGACCATGCATGATGAGAAGTAATGAAAACTTTTTATTAGGAAAGATTTATAGCCTCATTGTTGCTGGATGGAAACTCTTAGACATCTAAGCATGAATAGCCTATTTAATTATTTTTAGAAGCTTGTTTAAGAGTCTGCATGATTTTTGTCTGTTTTTTTTAAGTAGTTTTGTACAGTCTTAATACTGCATTAAGTGCTCCAGTAGTCCAATCTGTTGAGGCTTTTGCTGTGCAAAACTCCTAAGTTGTGTATACAATATCACATTTGCTTATGTGATACTTTGTATTAAGATAATAATTTGTCCAAATTGCACATGGTGAGTTGTCCCAAATATGCCAGTAAACATAGTAACTTTGTTTCTCTACCATCTAATAGTTTCTATGCTTAAGATGAACTCTTTTTTTTTTCTTCAGTGACTTAAAAGGTCTCGGTAAGGACGTCAGAGGTTTTTGCACAGGTGGTGAACTGGCATCAGTTAATTCTGCAACTGCAAACTGTCTTCGCCTCAAAACTGTAATTTGTGTAGGCCTGATTTGAGAGGTTGCTGAGGTTGTTCCGTGAAAATCTGTAGATTTGCATTGATAGGCAATTGTTGTAATTAATGGCTGAAAGATAGTAAGGTACTGTTGCTATACAGCTTAATCAGCATTTAAAATGTTGGAGTATCTTTATATTACTGTCTTCATTAAGAGATGCAGAGAGAAGCTAAGGTTTCCACATCAATCTTTGGTTCCATTGGCTGAGGAATATGGCAAACTTACTGCTGTTGGTGGTAGACAAGAAGAGAATAAAGGAGATAGAGAAGAAAATGTGATTATCTGGAGGATTTTTACTCTGATATAATAGAAGGGAATTCAGGCTTTTGATTCTTACCAGCAATAATTTAATTTGAAGTATGACACTGATAGTATGAGGAGTAAATCCTGGATTAATCACGTGCAATATTTTATTAAGGAACCTGATTTAGAAGCTCTGGCAAAGCAAGCAGAAGAAAGGAAGCAAAGAGCAGAGAAGAGACATAGGAAAGCCTTGAGAGAGCAGAAGTTCCAAAAAGAGAAGTTACTTCATGAGCAAACCCGGTATGCAGTAGGATATTGGGTATCATTAGGCATAGAGTGTGCTTCATGGTGTTACGTGGTGAAAGGCAAAAATCACAATGTTTGTTTGCAGCTTTTTAATTTTGATTTTTTTTTTGTGTGTGTTAAAGGGTACTAGCTTGTGGACAAACCTGTGGATTTTGAGAAAACTTTTTAGTTTTAAAGCCAAGATCCCCATGTCAAGTACACAAATTGATCTGGTCAACTCCAATGGCCAGAGAGCCTGTCACCTCTGTATTACTATTTTCAGTCCAGGTTATTGGCAGCTACTTAGTGACAGGTGAAATGAGATGTTCTTAGTCCAGCTCTTGGTGGAAAGTTACTCCTTTGAAAAAAGGACCTATTGCATTTGACACTGTCTTCCTTATCTCTTTAAGGGAAAAAAAAAAAGGCACAAATTGGTCCAAACTTGGGCTGACATGAAAAATAAATAGTGTACTCGTGGGGATAGCTGAGCTTGAGTAGAGTTGACACCTATTGATTAAATACTTAGCTTTGTGCACACTTCAGTGATTAAAATATGTTGAAGTGATGCAGAGCTTTCTGAAAAGCAGGATTTTGCTTTGATCCAGAGAAGCTCACGTGTTATTAATGTTTTTGCATTACTTCAAAAGTTAATTTTTCAGTGCTGCCTTTCAGTATAAGTTTTGTTGACTCTTCGATGTGCTTCCCCATCCCTGTCTCTCAATAATTAAATGGAGTCAATGATTATATTTTTAGGCTTGCCTTTTATTTTACACAGTGCTGTCATTGTTGCTTGAATTATTTTTCATCCTATCTCTCTCTCCCCATTTATTTACTAGACGAATAAATGCACGCAAGCATGCTCTGGATGTGGAAAGAGAAAGAGCAGCAAAAGTTGCAAGCCTACCACCTCCTCCTGCCCCATCCTCTTGAGGTATGTATCCACAATGATCAAAAAACACTTTTTTTCAGCAAGATTATGGAAAATGCTCTTTTCTCTGATCATCTAATAAACTGGAAATAATATATTTGGAGTTCCATAAGCGAAGTCTGTACTTGAGAAATGTTATTTTGCTGTTATGCATAATTATATTATGGATCTGTGCTTGCCCTGCTTTGAGATGGATGTGTCAGCTGTTGTAAGTGGGTTTTGTATTTGTACATTAAAGCTCAAGTGCTTTTGTGTTGAGGTAATGCTATTGAAACAGGGAGGCAGAGCTCTGTGCTGAATGTCAATTAGATGTTCGCTGTAGGCAGCGAGATGCTCTCAGTCATTAAGCCCTCTAGGTATTCCTTGGGCTGCTGTGATTAATTATTAATTGTATGCAAATATTGAAATGACATAATGTTTTCAGGAGAGAATTTAGTGTTTGTTTTTAATTCTTAGCTTTCTTCTGTTACTAATTGAAGTATGGAACTCACTTCTCTTTCATTTAGTTGCTTTGTCAGAGACACCTGTGATACAGCTGCACTTATTTCTACTTTTTCTTTCTAGAATTTTGAAGCAAAAAAGATCCCTGCAGTGAAGGCCTATGGTGCTGGCAACTTCTCCATCACGCGTTACCATATTTCAGAACCTTATGTGGATAGAGAAATGGATGGAGAACAGGTGATTAAGTGTTTGTGACATATGCATCCGTGTATCTTTATATTGCACATTGTGTGTGGCTATCAGATATCAGCAGGTCGGCTTCCTAGAACTTGTTTAACAACAGAAACTTGTATAAAGCAGCCTTTATGAGTTAATAATCAGAATCCTAGCTGATGGGAACTTATGAGGACTGTTTTGTGTTCAGTTGTTGCCAGGATCACCCCTCACACTTTTTGTAATGTGAGTAGGCCTCTGAATGGAGGTGAATTCACAAGACTGGCATGTTAGGGCACTGCAGTCTTCTGCTTTGTGGCTTATGCTAAATGAATAGTTGCAGTTGCCCTGCTTTTTTCCTCTTTTAGTTGTGTTCACCCAGTCTTTACCTGATATTCACGTTCGTCTGTTCATGCAGTCAACTGTTTCTAGTTTGCCAAAATGGCAAAGGTCTGATTTGAGAAAAAGAACGATGAACAGAGCTTTGCCAGGTGAAAAGGTTTGCTCAGGTTCACAGTGCAAGCAGACAAAGGCTCAAGTCAGATCAGAAGAAGGGGAGGATCTGCACAAGTGAGAGATGGAGTAAGGACTTAGCTTTTAGAGGTGATCCGTTGTTTGGTTTGTCTGTGAGGTGAGATCACGGTCTAAATTCTTGTTTGGGATCAGCCTCTTTTAGACTAGACTCTCTACAGTCAATAAGCTTCTCTTTGTGGCTGTTCTCTCTAGTGGCTTCGTTTTCATTCATGAAGTTTAAGGTTTTCTTGACCTTTAAAAGACTAGGTCTAAACAATAAGAGCAGATTCTGTGGTTTGAGCTTTATATCATAAAATTCCTAAATGTCAATCTTCTGCCTAGCTTGCATGCAACTTTTTAACTTGAGTATTTATTGAAGTGTTTGTTTTTAGTTAAACATTGCAGATTTTTTTTTTTGTTCCCAAATGAAAATGAAAAAAAACTTCTGGCCTTCTTGTTTAAAACAAAACCATGACCACAGAAGTAGTGAATCAGTAATATTGATTACATTATTCATTTTAGCTTGTATTGTAGGAAAAACAACTGCTCTGCTATAATGAATAAATCATACAAATGATTGTCCCTAGTGGAGTTAGGAACTCGAATGCTTTGACACCTAACACTTAGCAAATGTGTAAATATGCATTTTTTTTTTTCTCAAATGTATAAATACAATTTGGTTTTGCTTGCAGCTGAGTACTATAAAACTTCTGAGAGTGTTTGTATGGTGTTGTATGCCTTTTTAAAGTGGTTTTGATACAGAATTATTTATTGTTACATTGACTTTAAACTATCACAAGACCTTGGTGGACTAAACTATTAATTGACTGCCAGCCAGATGCTCGGTTAGCTGCTGAAGAGGAAGTGAAGCGCTTGGAGGAGCTGCACAGAGAGGCAGAGAGGGAGAAAAGAGAGCAGGTTGCAAAGGCCCATCTCAGAGGAAGTCATGCCTTGAAGAAGGTCCATTTGGCTCAGGTAGGCAAAGTAAACATTGTGCCTGTTTTTCATGTTGAAATGACCCGTGTTACCTAAGCTATAGGTTTTCTAAGGGGCTGTAGTTTCAGGAGGTGAATTAAATAGGGTTTTCAGAATGCTTTCAAAAATCATCAAGCTCATCTCCTTAATTTTGGCTCTCTGTAAGTTTATAAGGCAAGAAACCTTTTTGACAAAGATAAACTAGAAATGTTTGGAAGGAGAATAGAGACTGCAGATAATCTGTTCTTTTTTCCTTATTCAATGCCATAGCTCTTACAGGGACTATTTTTACAGCGCCTTTGTTTGAAATGAGTCTTTTTTCATTTCTTTTCATCGGCAGAGGTCAGGGTAGTCCCTTGTGTCAGTTCAATGAGAAGTAGAAATGGAATTTTTGTTTTTTAAATACATGATAGCGTGGAAAAAAATTTCAACTTGACAAAGTTGTGAGTCCTATACTTCAGGACCTTGTTTTGCTTGTTTTTTTTGTTATACTATAAAGGTGTTCTTGAGCTGAAGTAATACCTTGTGAGTTAACTGATTGAAGTATTTAGATAATTAATGGTAGAATTAGTGATAGAACTTTTCTGCCTGGAAGATCAACAAATTCAAAGTTTTAATTTCATCAACTGTTCCTACAGCCATTGTTTTTATAAACTTGTTTACTTAACAGCTGTGTGAGATCAAGGAAAAAGCATATCATGGTTTTAAATTATGACCAGAACAATGGGTACCATTTTGCAAAGCACCTGTAAGAATGTCAGTCACCCTAAATCTGACTAATGTGCTTTTGAGAAAATTGAAATCTATAGACTCATTATCAGTCCTTCTCCCTCTCTTATGTTCAGCTTATTTTACATAAATGTTTTAAATTAGTATTCAGAGCATTCGGTTGTAGGTTAGTGCTTCTCCCAGATTATTTCCTCTACCTGTGTATCCTGCTTTTTACAAAAGGCATAAGGACCTTTTACTACCAAAAGACAGCAAGAGATGCCAGTAAGCCTGAACTTACTCTGCCTCAACTCCAAGGACTTCTGCAGAATCTGTTAATGGAACAGTTTAGAGAGTCTTCTTCAAATAATACACTGCTTACACTTACCTAAGTGTATATGCAGTGAAAGCATATGCTTAGATATGTACCCTTCTTCCAGTGTCCTTGTTAATTTTTGAGCTGCCTCCATCTTTTTTTTTGTTAGTTATCTGAGTTTCTATAAAGTTGCAAGAACTTCTTTTTCCACAGCTTTTTTTTAACACCTTTGTTTCTAGTGTGTCTGTATATATGCTTCAAATTTCTGGTATTACTACATCTTGTCATTCATGCATGATTTTTTTTCTGTGTCTGAAAAACTTTAAGACAGAAGTCAGATGAAATAACAGCATGCGGAATGTGTAAGAATGCACCATGTGTATTTATATCTAAGAGGAAAGGAAATTCAGTCACTTGTCTGAAGTGCAGAGATCATGTTTGTCCTGACATGAGCTGGTACAAATGCTGATAGTCTGTCTTCAAATCCATACTTGGATTCAAATTGGGTGTCTTTGCAGTTATGCTCAATCTGTTGTTGGTGTAAAATTTGTTCTATTAAATGTGTGTACAGGAGAGGAAACTGTTCAATACTGTTTTATATTGATTGTGGGCATACCACTTCGTTATCATATTGTACCCAAGGCTTGTGCTGAATAAAATTGAGCTTCATCATGACTTTATCATGGCACATCTCAAAGTATCTATGAGATTCTCAGAAAGTATTAATATTTCTTATGAAAAACCAACAGTTTTTCTTTTAATTTTTGGGAAAAAAAATCAGCATAATTACTTTAAATTAAGGTTCTGCTAGTGTAGAAATCTGGAAATATTGATGTTATTTTCCTTAAGAAGTAAAAGCAATTGCTGGGAAGGGATTTTCTGCATAGAAGCTTGTGACAGTGACAGACAACACAAATCTCTCAAACACAGCTTCCTGTGTTTAATTGAGATATGATTGGCCCTAAATGAGTAATTTAACTAATTTGGGGAACTGAGAAAGTTATATTACTGATGTTTGTTGTTTAAAAAAAAAAAAAAAACACCTTCAAATAAGGCTTTTTAAAAATAGCTTTAATGTATCACTGTGCTGCACCAAGACTATTAGCTTACTTTAGCAACTCTTATTTTTAAGTACCATATACTAACAAAAATAGTTTATTGAAGGAAGTTCTCCTTTACTTCAGAAAACAGATTTAATTCTGTTTAGGAAAGTTGGCCTACAGTGTACAACTCAGCTCTTCTTTTAACATTAGATCTTTTAGGTAGTGTTTGGCTGTGTTTAAAATGTCTTCCCCTGAGGAAATGAACCTGCTCCCTAGAACAAAATCAGCTAAATGTTTAGAATTAAACTTTGTGGTAACCAAATTGGAAGTATTTTATCAGTCCTGACATACAGCTGTCCGAAGGTTAACACAAAATGTTTCTCACCCCTTTCCTTGAAGGACAGGGAAAGGCTACTGAAAGAACTTGAACAAATGCAGAATGTGGATCGGATGCGCAGGAGGCAGAGGGTGGCGCAGATGCCACCACAGCTTTTTGTACCCGCATACAAACGGATGGAAATAAAAGACGACTGGCAGAGAGAACTGGAGTTTGCCTTTGAAGATATGTACAGTGAGGACAGGCGTGAGTAATTTGTGGGAGGCTACTGCAGCTACCTGTTCTGGGTGCAGCAAGTAGCGGGGCTCTGCGTTTATTCCTGGTGGATGCACGCTTTCAAACCAGGATTACGTACTGTACACAGCAGTACGTAGAACACAGCACTGGGCATTACACACAAACAGCACGAATTGGCTCATTCTGTTCCCTGCTCTGGCTGAGCAGGCTGAAGGCTGCTTCATGGGAAAATGTCTGCACACACAGCACAGATCTCTGTAGCGATTGGTCTCAGACACTCACTGAACCCAGCAGCTGGTCCCTGTACCCCAGCTCTCCTCAGACATACACACCCCTGAGGTTTCCAGCCCTACGTGTACATACACCACCTATCTCCCCCCTAATTCCCCAAAAATGGGTCTTAATTACCCAGTCTGTCCAGAACTGATCAAAGACCCTGTAGCCCTCCAGTTACCTTGCATGTGCACATGTGCCCTGTTATCCTCAATCTGTGCTATGGATCCCTCACAAAGATGGTTTTAGAAGCTCATCGTACCCAGCAGCTGGCCCTGGATCCTCAGCCTGCCCACTTGCTGGCTCCTGGGCATGCAAACAGCTGAGGCTTTCTGCTCTGCTCTAATTAGTGATACACAGACCCCCCGTATGTGCAAATATAGGCACCCACTATGGATGCCTGCAGTAACTGTAAATACCTAGGCTATCCAGTAGATACCCTCAGTTGTCTGTCAAATAAATGTATGTGCGCGTGCCAGCAGGTTTCTAAGTTGAGCTTGAGCTTCCTGCAATCTCCCCTGTAGGTGGCTTGGATCTTCTGATCCTACAATAGCCAAGTTGTAAACCCTCTGTCCTTCCCAGGCTTTCCAAGCCTCTTGCTGTTCTCCCTGGCTATTCTGGCTTGCTGTTTGCTAGTCATTGCACACTGGTACATATACCCATGTAGTATGCATACGTTCTTGTTTACACTCCACTTTCTGTCTGTTACACACCCATACATGTGCACACATGCAAAGTAGAGAGTTCCTCACATGGGAAAACAGATAAAAATGGAATTTAGCAAGAAGACAGGGCAGGCTGCCAGAAACCAGGCTGTGCAACATCAGACCAGTGTACTCACTGGCCCCTTTTATGCTCTTATTCCTCTGTTTTCTCCTAAGATTTGTTAATCCTTCCCTTTCCCTGCTTTATTTTTTTTTTCCCCTAACTGTCCATAGTAAGTCTAGTACAATATTAAGGTGCTCTTCCCATGTGTCCCACACCCCTTGTAACCCCTCAGTAACCCCTCAGTCAATAAGGAGATCCTGAATCCTCTCCCCTGGATTCATCTTCCAGGATTTTGCACCTGGACCATGGGGTTGATGGCTCCCATGTGACAGCCCCGTGAACAGCCAGGTCAGGGTGCTCCTTTTTTCTGATGAGTTTGCTGGGATTCTCCTGCAATGCTTTTTGCACGGAGATGAGCCTTTTATTTTAAAACCTTTTATATTGAAATACTTAAAATATTCTACTGGAAAACACTGTAGAAGTTCTGAATTAAAAAAACCTAATGATCTAAATGGTATTAAATTTAAAAGTCTTCTATTTTGGGGGGTAAAAGTAGTTGAATTAAACATGTTGTGAAACAAATTGATGTTGGAATTTCTCAGTGTCTTGCAGTGTTTGCTTTTTATTCTGATTGGTCGTTTTTTGTGGTTGTGTTCCTTAATTAGAAATGAAAGGAGACCTGATTTTGCAGTTTGAGCCACAACCTTTGCCAACCCCTTCTGATAGATCTCAAGATAATGATCTCGATCTCTCTTTGGAGCAAGAATCTGCTTGTGACAATCAACAAGAATCAGAACAGATGACAGAAGGGGAGGTCCCTGATGAATCAGAAAGTAAGGCTTTCAAATGTTAACTTAGTCTTTTTGATTTTATAGTAGAAGAAAAGAGATTGCGATTTGATATATTAAATGAATTAACTTCAGTATTAGCTAAAATGTATAAGTACTAAAATGCTTTAACGACTATGAAATATTTCAGAATTAAGTGAATTATGATGTTTGTCATGGATGATAATATTCTAACAAACGCTCCGTGCCTGGAAGTATTCAAGGCCAGGTAGGATGGGGTTTTGAGCAACCTGGTCTGGTGGGAGGTGTCCCTGCCCATGGCAGGGGGTTGGAGCTGGGTGGGCTTTGAGGTCCCTTCCAACCCAAACCATTCTGTGACTCCATGATTCTATAAATTCTATAAAATACAAATTTAAAATAGAAATGTGAGTTCTTTTTTCTAATATTCTTCGGTTTGTTAATATACTGAGAATAATTTTAATTGATGTCAGAACTACACTTTTAATAGCTGTGATAGTTCCTCTATAATTACCCCAAATGGTGGGATGGCATTGGTATATGAACTTAAATATGTTTTGTGTGCTTTGAGCTATTAGTCCAGTGAATAGCTGTGTTAAAGTTTGACTTTGTGTGAAAGTCCACTTACTGTATGTCCTTTATGCTCAGGTTTGTGATCGAGTTGCTTCATCTTGTGAGTAGGCCCCAATAATTGCATGTAGTGTGTGTGTACTCTTTGCTTGTGGCATCACCAGGATAATGCAATGTGAACAAGGTGTGTTAGTGAACATGGCTGTGTGCCCAAGCATTTTTTCCATGTCCCTTTGTTGGCATTATCCATATTTTGGTCTGTGATGCATTATGGTGCCAGTGGTAATGCACAGGAGGGGGTAGAAGCATACAGACGAGGGGAATAGTGCTGCTGGCTTCTGCAGCAGTGGAATTTGGGATTAATTTTACTCTGAAGTACTGCAACTGGCTGAGGCCTCCTTTCATAGCATCCTGAGACAAATTGCTGCTTCTTTCTTTCAAGTAAGAGAAAATACTTGTTAAGCCTTGACAACTTGACAGTATAGCTGAGCTATTTGTCCAGTTGTGTGAGCAATTTAAAAAAATAAAGATTTTTTGCTTTCTATGACATGAGGAGTCATTACCCCAAACTTAAAGGTGTATGTTCCTTACAGAACACGAAGAGGCAAAAACTCACCAATCTCAATCAAAACTTGCCTTAAAGAAGTTGCTGAACAAGATTAGAAGCCAAAAAGAGGAATGGACATCAAAAAATGAGAAAGAGATTCCAAGTGAAGCTGAGACTATTGAATCGGGCACAATTCCTAGTGAGGAGAGACAGCTCTGTGATGTAGAACTTGACTGTGAGCAACACAAAAATTCAGTATGTGAAGCCGAAGGTATGTAGTATGTACTTAAATCTAAACATGTTGTGTAGAAACAACAAGATCTATGAGGGTGGACTGTAATAAAGTTGTTTAATGAATTTTTCAGTAGTGGTATTTTATCATGTTCCTAGAGAGTAAAGTTCTTTCGTCTCTGCCCTTGTCTTCTAGATTCATTGAAAACACAAAATGGGAGAGGTTTTTGCTCATTTATTCACCTTGCCAAAAAAGGTCTTTTGGAAGAAAGATGTCTAAATACCTTTATCTTGTAAATCTTGCCCAAATTTTTGTCACACTTGGTGTTGCCATGTTTTAAAAGGCAACCAAGAGGAGAATTCTCAGTGCAAAATTGTTCGCTGAAATTCCATACCCGTTAAATCGCAAGAACTGAATGCTTCAGAGATTCACAGCTAGAAGTGCTTCAGACAAGCATGAAGCGATGTGTCTGTAGTGATGTATTTTTCCTGGTCTCAAGGCACCACCCCAGAAGGCCCCAGGGTAAAACAGGAATTTACAGCAGTCCAATGTTCTATTTTGTTTGGTAGCCCAAGCAGTTTGGGTTCCTCTTTGTTCTGGGCCTGTGCTCTTTTGTTGGTGAATTTGTATGCTAAGTGTGATTTTTTTTGAAGTCTATTAAAATGATTTTTTTTCTTTTTCTACTTTGATAAGGTGCTTGCTGTGGTTTTGTTTTAAATAAGCTTAAGTGTTTCAGTTCAGTCATTTACATGGATACACCAGCGTAATTCCAGGGGACTGGAGAGTGTAGCAAGAGTTAAAACGTGCCTTTACTGAAGACATGCTGCTATTTGAAGTACAGAATGAAAATCTGCTTTTTGTGCAGTAGCTAAATATTAGATCACTTTCCCAGAGACTGCCGGTTTTAGATCCTCTTTTTTTTTTTTTTTCTCTAAGTTACTGCTTTTTTTCCCTCGGGATGATCTTGCTATTAGGCTACCAAGTTACCTGGTTAGAAACCATCTTCAATCCTGTTGGAGCCGGGCCATTATTTATATTCAACAAAGGCACATGATAAAGGGCCATTAATGGCTTAAATAATACAAAACCTGATTTTTCCAGCTTATGGAGGTGGGTAGAGTGGGATGAAGATGGTCATCTTGTCAAGACCTGCTTGTGCATTTTTGTTTAGAGAGTTTGGGAAACTGTAAAGCAAGATGTAAACATGATCCAAAACTCTTTCTGACTGCATTTACAGTTAAATAACGTATATATTTTAGACTCTGTGGAAACATTGGAACATACAGCTGCAGCTGAAAGTTCAATTCTGATCCATCCTCAAGAACAAGCAGCTAAAATTCGAATGGAAAATGAGAGAAAGAAGTTGGTAAGTGTATATATATGTACTTTTCTTGTCTTAGTTATGATGTAAAAAGTGATTTACAGAAGATGTTTCAGCTTATAATGCTGTGATAGGCCCTTTTAACATGCTATGAACATTTAAATGAACTTTTAATGAGAATTCCAATTGTAGATTAATCCTTTTTGGCGTAGGGAAAATGTAGCCAACAATACACAACTTCGAAACTCTGTGTAATAATACTGGAAAGTCTCTGGGATTGGTTATAGTGACAGGAAAATTTTACAGATTATTTTAATTCCTAGTTAATTAAAAAAAAAATCGAATGCAAGAAGTCATTTATATCTATGTGAATGCTATATTTAGAAAATAATAGCTTTGTTCATTATATGCAACATATACATAGTGTATATATTGCATTATATTTTCATTGTATCATAGATATTTAGAAACCTGCTAGCTGTTATGTGGTGGTTTATCAATTTAAAACAAAAAGTAGGAATTAAGGTCCCAGTTAAAGTTCAGAGATTCAGGAAACATTTGTCAACATAGTGTTTTGCTAGAGGTGTGTGGGGGGGGGAGTAACCAAACTTTCACCAAGGATCTGCTGCTTTGAAAACATTTGTTTTCTCCCACTTTGGATCTGTGCAGGTGTATTTATTTCCATGTCTGCATTAACTGTTCTCAGATCTAGCTCTTCCTCACATCCCCGTTCAGACCCTGCCACTATAAATTGTTGTCCACCTCATCTTCGTCAGTGCTTTGAAATTTTTCTTCACTTCCATTCTAAAATGATCTGTGCTGTTGCTCCCTGTGGATAGAAGTGATTTGTAGATGAAAGATACTCGGAAAGAGAATAAAAATAAACAAAACACTTCAGAGATCTATGGAGTGCTCTTAAACTGGTTATACATTAGCAATTTTAAAAATTTGGTTAGACTCAAATTAACATTTAAATGCACTGAAATCTTGATGAAAAGCTCTATAAAATGCAAAATAGGCTTCTGAATACAGTTTAAAAGAAGGACTTCCTTTGCAACCTCTGGAGAATTATAATTTATCTTGAATGATTACATTTTGATTTTTATCCATTCTGTTAATGGGTAGATGAAAATAGCACAATAACTAACAGTCCCTGAAACTGTTTGAAATACCTAGTCAGGCAACTAAAAGTATTCTAATAAACTGGAATTATTTTTGAAGGCCTCTTACAATTTGGAAAAGCCTGTCATATGTAAGCAATAAAATTTCTGGTACAAGTTGCAAGTTGGAGCAAAGCTTTGTATGTAGGGGTGTTTTTTTCCTCAAGTCATGTACATTTTTTTCAATAGATTGAGCAAATAGAGCAACAGAAACAGGAACAGCTGGCCTTGCTAAAGCAAATCGAAGAAAAGAAAGCACGTTTGGAGGCTGATCTTCTGAAGATCCAAATGCAAACCTGTTTGGAGGAGGCTAAGAACAAAGAGGAGGAGGAAGAGAAAGGTCAGCCAGTACAAAGCTGCAGCATTCCTTCTCCAGATCAACCAAAGGAAGTGGAACAGGAGGTGAAGAATTGTAGAAAGTTGTGTGTGTGTGAATTATTTTATTTTTATTTTAAAAAAATCAAGAGCACCAATAGCTAGTTTTAAATTCTGTCGGTCAAGATCTTGTTTTTATTCCTTAGGCCATGAATCAGAAGAAGCTCTTATACATAAAGACCACAACTTTCTTTGTCTAATCTAGAGCTTCTGCTTCCCATGATACCAGATAAACACTTTGAATATTTGCTTATCTTTGCATAGTTCTGGGGACAGCAAGTGTGTATAGAATACGTGCTAGGAAAATCTGATTAGAGTTGTATAATGATGATACATGTACAAATATCCTTCTTTTTGAAGGAAAAAAAAATCTTAAGGAAAAAGTAAAGAAAAAAGCACCTACACCTTTTCCTCTTTGTCTAAATCCTAAACATCTACTTAAATGAAAGGATATTTATTGTCGATATTGAAGGAAAATAGCTTTTATTTTTATTTTTTTAATTTTATTTTTTAATTTTGAACCATTTGCACAACGTTTGTTCTCCAAAGAATTTGTTTGCCTTGTAAAAGCAAACATTAGATTGTTACTCCCTCACTTTGCTACTGGGTACAGTTACTTCCCTGAGCTAAGCACGCTGACTTTGGTATATGCTCCACTTGCCAAGAGAGACTAGCTGTAGGCCACGTGTTCCAAAAACTGCTTTAGTTTCAGTGCCTGAGGCTGAAATCTCACAGACTTCAAGTGGTGGTACAGATAGGTTTCTGTAGACCTGGGAAAACAAAGATTCAGTTTAAGATTATTGCCTTAACAGTTTTCTGTGAGTTATTTGTATACTTCTACTTAAAATTATTCAATTTCAATTAGTCTGGAAGTACTGCTGTGTCAGAAACTAGAAGCCCTAGAGAAGACAGCCACTTACAGATGATCCGTAATTATCAACAGCGTCTTCTACAGCAAAATAGGTAAATTACTTTATAAAATGAAAGTTCTGACTTGTCTGCTTCAAAATAATTTAAATTGCTTTGATTATTGAAAATGCTAGTCTTTGCAGCAGTCTGGAAATATTCATGTCTTCTGTATGTTCAGGCTGCACGAACAGACAATTGAAGAAGCCAGAAAGCGTCTACAGGAGTATCAGAACAAACTGAAGGAAAGATACTCGGCTGCTTCTGTAACACCTTCAAGCTCTGTGGAAACAAAATCGGTGCTAAAGCCTGTCTTAGAGCCAGTTCTACAGAGGCAAAGAGTACAACGGACACAGCACCAGTCTCCTGAACAAGTTCGTGCAGAAGACCATGCACGGTCATCACCTGTTTTTTCCAGCTTATCTAATGTTCCTGAAAGCACGTCATCACAAAACCACGAGGAGCAAACGCATCATGTTTGTCCTGGTAGACATGCACAGCCTCTAGAAACGTCAAAATCGCGGTATGGAGAGTTTCACTTGCCGTGGAGCTGTCCTTCACAGGAACCAGTGAGCCTGTTGGAAACCTCCCCTGATCAGGCCAGAGAGCCATCTCCATTCCGGTTACCGTCAGCCTCAGTCACACAAGGTGTTACTGCAGTCAGAACACGAACAGAAGCACGCGTACAGCACGTTAGGTTTGCTTTGCCTGCAGAAGATTCCTCCAAGCCTTCAGAAGCAGAGCACTTTCAGGAATCATCTCAGGTGATGTCTGACTGCCAAACAGAAACAGAAGCTGTAGAAGAGCCTCCCCTCACAGCAGCCTTTACGCCAGCCACAGGATCTCACGTGGTGCAGGCAGCCACAGCTGAGTTTTTGGCAGGTCAGCAGGGGTCTGTAGGGAGCACCACCAGAACAAGCCTTGAGCCCACCGCTCGTACTGAACCTGTGACTTCATCTCATGAAGAAGGCGTTGAGGAATTCTTGACATCCAAAAGTGGACAGGCATCTTTGTTAAATTATTCTGGAATACTGAATTTAAGGGATAGGATGTTGGCCTCATCAGAAAGCATTCAGGCTCAGCAACGGTATTTGAAAGAATTGCAGGAGCAGCTAGATGCACAAAGGGAAGCTCTTCTTTCTCGACAGAAAATACAAGAGCAACTACTTCTACAGAAGCACAGTAAATTGAAGGAACAGATGCAGATGCAGGAACAAGAGGCTTTGAAAGAATTTCTGAACAAGCAGGTAAGCTTTATAAATGCTTTTCATGGTGAGTCGTCTAGTAGATGATAAAGCTTTAGGGTGAATGGTAGGATCCTGTAATGAAAATTTTAATAAGGACTTGTGATTTGTGAACTGTAGTTCTTTCCCATAACTTCTTATTTCGAGAAGTTTCTTTTTATGTGTACGTATTCAGGAAATGTTTTCATAGTTGCACTCCTGACTTGTAATTTTGCTCATTTCTGGGTAATGGCAGAAAAAGGCAAGTTTATTTTTGAGTTTATTTTTGAGCTAATGAAGCTCCTTTTGCCCTTTCTTAACCTGAAGCCATCTTAGAAAAATAACTGTTTCCTTGAGCCTTGCTATTGCAGTCTTCATACAGTTAAAATTCCTGAACTCGGGAGAGGAAAAGTAAAAACAGACTTATTTAAAAGTACAAACAGAGGAATTATTCCTCTTAAAAATGCTGATTATTCTAATAAAATCTAATGAATGCCTTGAAAATGTACTCAATTGTTTTATCACACTAGGGTTGTAGAGCTAAATATGTTATCTGTGTGCCCAAATGTTTCAGCAAGATATACAAGGCACTTGAATTTCTTTCTCAAAGGAGAAGCTTAGTATTGTAAAATACACACAAAAGAAAATACTGGCTTAATAAATGAGTATAAATATAATCTTAAGTACCGCTGCTTTTTTTTCTATTTAAGGTAAGACGTATCAGCACAAATGAAGAAATGACGGAGGCACTAATGCCTGACTGGATTAACAGGAGTGATATTTTCCAAGATTCAGAAAACTACCAGCAAGAGAACTGTGGCATGAATAAACTCCACAGAAATGAAATGATTTCGCAGTGCATCGATCTAGCTGGGCAAACTGGTAAGGCTGTTACAGCATTTTTTATTACAATATTTTTTTTTCCCTTTTTGCTGCTGAGATGCAGTTCTCTTCCATTTGCCCAAGCTGATCTGATAGATTGGTTGTAACACGCTAGGGGATTTTAATCCACAAAACTTTATCTTGCAGAACAGCCTGAGAAAGTCCTACATAGAGAACAGAAATGGAGATCTTCCAAACCACCCGTGACAAAAGTCAAGTTAGGGCTTGACTTGGAACAGCATGAACTTAGTGTTATTCCAGAGGTAGACACACCGAGGAGTTGCAACATTTCTTTTGCAGGTAAAATATATCTTTGATAAAATATATTGTATTTACACACATACACATGTATATATGACAAATGATTATAAAAAATACAGATTAGAGGAAATGAATCTTTTCTGAAGCCTTTGAGCTGATTGATTGTAAAATACTAGTTGATACTGTTCTAAGGTGTAATTTATACACGGTCCTAGGCAGCTATTGCTGAGAAAAACTTATCCTGTTAGGGTCTGACTAAAAAAAATATATACAAAATAAAAATCCAGTGAGAAAAGAAAATTTACTGTGATTCTGGGACTGAAGTTTCCTGTTGATTTTTCTTTTGGGCATATGATAAAATTTGCAGGGTCTGTGTTAAAAATTCCTTTCATATCAAAGATACAAGATTGAGTGCAGAATAAAGTCTTAGGTATTCATACCTTGTTTCCTCTGAGGGTTTAATCTGATGTGAATATATCAGTTAACTGCAAAAGGAACCATCAGAGCTGATGGAAGGATGTTTAAAAGTTCAGTTTGGGAGCATAGCCAGAATGAGTGAAATCTTTAAAATAAAGAGCTAGTATCTTGTGTCTACAGAAAATTTTATGAGCTCTTTTGTTTTTTCAATTACACAACACTGTAACAATTCCAGAACAAGCACACAAAGCAGTTACTGGATTCTGTTACCATTTGTATGCAGTAGTTAGTAATTCTTTGTAAGGAACATTAAGTAACAGGTACAACAAACTGATGTTTTCTTTCCCCCCCACACCTCAATTCACCCAAGTCTCTTTGCAGCTAAAATCTAATGAATATTTTACAAGGCTTTAATATTGTTCTAGTGTTTCTAAAAGAGTGAAGCAGAACAATCCAAGTAATTACAGACCTGTCAGACTGGCACTGATCATGAGCAAAATAATGAAACAGCTGATACGGGACATTTTTTAATTAAAGAAAAGTAATTAATGTTAGCATCAGTTTATGCAGAATAATTCTTGTTGGGCCAACTTGGTGTCTTGATTAGATAACAAGTTCCTGTTGAAGGGTTTGATTGAAGAATATATTTATATTCTTAAAAACACTTGACTTAGTTTTACACATTTTCATTAAAAAAAAAAAATCAAAACACATACCTAAAAATACTTCCAAAATATTATCCAGTAAAATATTAGAGTAGGGATTTACACATGCTGTGTAAATCCCCTTCTGATCCACAGGTGATTTATTCCATTATTATTTTACTGTTAGTTGTGTCAGATAATAACAAATTGAATTTGAGTTTTTTAATTGGATTGGGTGGCCAAAAGGGGCTGTTGGTGGGGTAAAAGCGCTGGGGAGAAAGGAGATCTTAATCCAGAGCAGAGAATTTGTGTTGCATAACTATATCTAAACTGATTCAATGCTTTAAATTCAGGTAAAACAGATTCTGTTGGTGGAGAATCTTCTACCATGTCAACGGTCGGGGAGTTTGCCTATGTGAAATGTTACAGTCCTGCTCTTCGGAAGGATGGCAGGTCACCTGGGAGCATAACAAGCTGTGAGGAACAAATCTCTGGTGAAAGTCCAAGGCAAAGGAAACAGTCTGGGTTATTACAAGAGCTGTTGCTGATGAGTGCTGAAACTTCCTGTGATTCAGGTGAGGAAATGCTCTTCCTTTGGGGAACTGTGTGAGTAGCATTCTGCACTGCTAATCTTACTGCTATTTCTCTGCAGCATGTATCCTGACTTGTTAAAGCATATTCAGTGTTACTTAAATACTCTTTTAATTTCAACTGTAAAGAATGGAATTTCAATAACTGTCTGTTCTAGAAGAACTGAATTTTGGGGTTTGATTTTTTCTGGTGATCCACTGCCATTCTAGTAACCTGTGTTCGTGCTATAGTGACCTGCACTGCTAGTCAAGAGTTTTTCATCCAAGGCATGTACTACAAATCTGTAACCTGTGGAGCTGGCTGTAAAGAAGCCTCTTGTATCACCTGATTGCTCTGTCTTTTCCATCAGAATCTCATGCGTGTACAGGGAGCCAACTGCTAGAGAAAGCTGCAGAAGCAGTGGTTTCTCTCCTGAGAGAGGTACCTTCTGCCCAGATTGCTTGTAGGGTGCCCAGGTGGGCAGCTTCACCAGCTGGGAACCTATTTTGAACAGCCCAGTGGTGGGCCTGAGTCAGTACCCAGTGATTCCTTTAGAGACACAAAGGAAATTAATGTTTAAAGAGAACTCTGAAGTGTTCAGGTACTGATGTAGACATCCGCAGAAAGTGCTCTTTCTGTAAGGAATTGCTTGAAAGTTTGGTTGAGACAAACTACAGAAGGCTGAGTGTAACCATTAGCTTAAAGAAGCAACCTTGAAAGAAGCGGCTGGTAGCAATGATAGAAAAATAATGCAATAATGTAAGGATTGCCTTAATTCTGCTATTTTCTGTTAATCTCTGAAGAGCTTTTATTAGAAATTACACTTCTGAGGCTGGTCTGTGTCCATGGATAACAAAGTTACTATGATTCCATAAATAAATAGCAGTTGTTTTGGCTATCACAAATAAAGCAAGCTGTGGATGTTCGAAATAATTTAATTACAGAGTTGTTGAAACCTACTAAGCACGTTATGGGTAGCTTAGCTGAACAAAGGTGACTGGTCTTAGGTAAGCAAGTAAAGCAGGTTACTATCATGTTTTTAAAGCACTTGGACTAACAAGTGGATGTCAAGGGGTTTAAATCCCACAGTTTTTCCTTGACCATAAGAAATTCAGCTTGTCTCTTTAGTCTTGGAATAGGTAGCTCAAAGGCTCCAGTACTTCCAGCTGCATTGCATTGCTCTTGAGATTTCTGTGGATTGAAATGCAGTTTGTTGTAGTTCCAGTTGAAAAATGGCACGCTTGACTTGCTGTGAACTCTTACTCAAAGTTTGTGAAACACTTGCTTGAGCAATGTGAAGTTTAATACAAGATGACAGCACCTCATTGTCCGTTAATTTTCAGCATCCATCCAAAATAAATACATTACAGCCTCTCATGGGTTGTTTTCAGCGACTTCACTGCCATATGTATGTCTTTATGAGCAACACAGCTATGTGGTATGCACCTCTTTTTTGCTAAAATTTTCACTGCTACCCCAAATCTTAAGGAAACTTTTAATTTAGTTTGTGCGGAGACATCCTATTCAACTCCAGATTTAATAGGAATTGAACTTGCTTTAAATCAGTACACCGAAGTACGTTAGCTCACTTTCTTTCAATTGCTTCCTTTAATTCTCCGAATAGTCCTTTTGAAATGTAGGTGTATTTAAATTATCACCAAAGAATTTTGTTTTTTTTAACAATATTCAGAGAAGATTTTCTGAGTAAGTTTTAGAAGTGCTGCTAGATCACCAGTTTCCAAATGAACATAAAATACCATGCTGTAGTCTCTTTTTACATAGCATTATATATGAATAGTGGATTGGTTTATGTAAGATTAGGATTCAGAACCACCGTATTTATGTAGAAATCAAAGCTGTATGTGATTGGGTATTTAGGAGCATTGTCCTCTTGAGCAGTCCAACAAACAACCCAAACTATCCACAATATCTTCTTTGTAATTTGAAGGATGTAAAGCACTTAACAGCACTTTAAGTAGCCAGTACAGTATTTTCAGCAAGAAAATCTAGTTTTTCTTAAAGGTTTTAAAGATGGAAAGCTAGGGTGCTCTTGAAGTTGCAACTTATGATGGTAGCTGCGAATTCATTTTTCTACTTAATTCTAACTAGGTCATGTTTGCAGTTTTCCCATGTTTTCATAGAATCATAGAATACCCCGAGTTGGAAGGGACCCACAAGGATCATCGAGTCCAGCTCCTGGCACCACAGAGGTCTACCCAAAAGTTCAGACCATTTTCAAGAGACATAATTGTCTCTCCAAAGATAAGAGCAAGCGAGTGCTTTCTGTGTGTGATCTTGACCTTACCCTTTAAAGAGAGATTCATGGTGGTTTCTAGCTTTAATGTATAGCTTTAAAACTTGCAAGTTGTACAGCTTTGTAGTTATAGGACTACCAGATGTGCACAGATCCTATTTATCACTATTGACTTGCTTTTTCAAAGTAAAGCATTAGAGATAGAAAGGTCAAAGTCATACAGGTTCTGAAAAAGATGAACTTTGTAAACCTATTTAGATACTTTATTGATAAAGGTGTTTCATTTGATATGAGGTTTGTCATTGGGTGACAGGCATATTCTTTTTTTGGGATTTCCCTAACTATCTGTATTTCTTTCCTCCCATTGTTACAAGAAGGGAAAAAATAACCCTCTCCAATTTAGATGCAGACACATCTGGATGTAAAGGCGGTCTCAAGGACTGCATTTGGTTAAGGAAGGATGAATCCCTAAATCCCTGCCCTCCATACTGAGTGGTCACAAGTGCTACACAAACTGCTCAGCCTGCTGGGAGGCAGAGGGAACAGGTCTCTGTCACAGCGATGTTGCAGGATTTGCCTCGCTGGTGGCACTGATTCAGATTGCTCTCTTACCATGCCACTGATGTCTCCCAAGATGAGTTAGAAACTCAACGTATTTGAGATTTCTTCTTTTAAATCCAGTTAGGTTAAAATGGGCTAATAGAACATAAATTGTTAATAGGGAATTGCAGAGTAATGCTACAGATAAGGCAGTTTGATTGCATAAACCTTATTTCCATAGGGAAATCATCTTGGAAATAGTGCCTAGACTTGATGCGTACAGCTTTTTCACAGTTCTCCTTCCCTGCCTATCAACAAACCTTTCTATTTATTCATCTTGGGCTTTGAGTCTGCTTGAGCAGCGTTCCGGATGTGATTACTTTCATGTAATGCCACCCTAAACAGAGATGTTATTCCATGATTATTTCTTCTGTAACCTAAGATTTCAGTTTATTTTTAATAATCCCAAATATTTGTCCATAATTCAGTATTGCAACAGGCTGTTTTATCCATCACCAATTCAGCAAACTAGTGTGGAGTACAACTTTTTCCCCCCTATGGTTGGGTTTGGACTGGTCCCTGTTTTTCATTGTCTTCACAAATGATTTGTTGCTCAGTCTGATGCCTTTCAATTGCAGCATGAAATTATTGCTGTTACTGTTCTACTGCAATTTCAGTTGAATAAATTGCATTCTGGGTATTACAGCCTCAATTTTTAAACCTATTCTAACCACTGTGGTGGCCAGGAGATTAAAACGTGAAAGTCCCATGTAGATGTCAGGAAACTGTGAGGAACAAGAACCTTGCACTATTATTTTGGAGGGAGGAGAAAAGAATTAAAAAAAAAAAAAAAAGCCCCTCTTTGTGAGTCACCAAGTAGAGTTTTTAAGGATATTACTGTAATAAAGACATGAGATATGAGCATGTTGTATTTTTAGCTCTGAAATCAGTAATTAATTTGGTTTATAGCATGGAATTGCTGCTGTTTGTCCCTGGTATTTATATCACAGAACAATGCAGGTTATTGCAGCATAGGAATAAAATGTTTGCAGAATAGCTTTTAATAGAATTTATATACGAGAGTATCAGATACTTGAATCTCCTCTCATATGTATCCTAAATTACTGCCTGTCACTGATAGGCTTTATAAAATAAAGCATTTATTTCAGAGAACTATCAAATCTTGATGTAAAGATACCAGGAAAAAGAATTCAGTGCTCTCCACGGCAGCTTGTTTCAGCAGTTAATTATTCTAAAATAAGCTATTTCCACTTCCCATATGTCTTACAGCCATTTCTTGCCCCTGCTTCTTGTTACAACGTTCTTTGAGGTTTAGATTACAGGAATTTTTTTTCAAGGCCTTGCTTATTCTCACAGTCATCCGCCTCCTGTGTTATGCTCCCAAGCAGAACAGCAGACTCGTGCAGTTTATTTGGACTGGATTACACCACCAACAGCCAAGGAGCTCGCTGCCACCTCATCCTACTCAAATTTTAAGCTATCTTTCCCATGAACCTGAAGACTTTTGTCGTATACTTGACTTACAGTTTTACTTGTACTGCAGCAGCATTGTTTAACAGACCCAGATTTGCATAAAGCCAGGGCAATTTTTACAGTTGCAGTGCTACTGAGCTTATCGTTCTTCCACTCTCTGTTACTTGAAAATCCTTCTGCCAGTGGCTCTGTTCAATTACTGATCAAAATGCCATAAATGATCAGGATCAAGCTTACTAGAAACTTCGGAGAACTGAGGAGGGAGGTCCTTCTGAGGACTGTTTTCCCCTTTATTTTGAGATCTGTCATCTAGCATTTAAAATAGTAACATAGTAAATGGATAAAGAATAGGTTAACTTCTCTTTTAATCCAAGTAAGTATATTTTAGACGTTATTTCCTTTCATTTCTTGTACTTCCTCCTAGAAGAGTTCTGGGTGATAACAACTAGAGGAAACCTTGGTTTATTATTTTTTCTTTCTTTCCTAAAAGGAGTTTCAAAGTGTTTCGTACTGACTTAGATACTTCAGTATTACACCGTACAGGTGTTCCACTGATGTTGCCTTGCAGAGGAAACTTCTCCCACTTTGTATAGTAGGAAAACTAGAACAGCTGGGCTCCGTCTTCTAGTAAGAAATGGAGTTTCAGGTCATACAAGGGACGCCTTAATGTTAGAAGTCACAGAGTGTTATGAGATCTACCTAAGGATAGAGCATTACAGGTGCTGTAGATTTGAAATGACACTGTCATTAGCAGCCCTAGTAGAGTTGAAAAAAATGTGTGTACTTAACTTCCACAGTTTGACTTAAATTTCTGTTGGATATTTAACACTTTTCCTTGAAAAAGTGAGAGCAGCCCTGAGGAGAAGGAGCTGGGGGTGTTGGTGGATGAGAAGCTCAACACGAGCCAGCAAGGTGTGCTTGCAGCCCAGAAAGCCAACCATGTCCTGGGCTGCACCAAAAGTTAGGTAATTTTTAAAAAGTAATACAAAGGTAGTTAGGTAATTCATAGTTTCTGATTTCTGTGGTCTGCCTTTCTTGGTAATCGTTGTACTGGTAGAGGCCAGAAGGATTCCTCCACCCCAGTGAAATGGTTGTAGGAACACTACCAAAGATGTATTTCATTCTGCAAAGCCAAAGCATGAATTTCTAGCTCTTAATGCATGGTCTACAGATTTTAGATCTTCATGCATTGTCTACAGAGACCAGTCATGCTAATCATAAATTATGGTACACTGGAACAGAAAGTATAATGTAACTGAGACGAAAGAGGCAAAAATCAGTGCCTAACAGTGAGGACAGCAGCAGTAGAGTATTACTGCCATCTGGTGTTAAAAAAACAAAAACAAAACAACACTAACAACAGCTTTCTCTTTCTTCTTGCTTCTGTTACACTTTGTTAGCTCAGTCCCAAGATTCTCTCACGGCTCGAGATTCACCATTTCCTGCTGCTGAAGTTGGAGAGGAAACACCACGTTCTGGACCATCCTTCAGAAGCATTCATGCGGTTAGTCATAGCAAAGCAACCGTGGAACATAATTTACTCTTTGTGGTGTGTTTAGCTGGAATGCTAAGATGATGTGCAGAAAGGAAAAATATTAGGACAAAATATTGTCATGTTTTTGTTGCCTTGAATCAGGCGTTTGAGAATTTTATCTTGTATTTCCAGAATGCTCAGGAACAGGTAGGATCTAGTACAATTATATGATCATTAGGATTAGAAGGGATCTTGGAAGGCCCCTGTTTCAGCCTCCTGCTTGCAGCAGGGTAAGCTGTGTCAGTGATACCCACTGGCTTTCTTCATCCAAAGATCCTGCCATTTTGTCAGTGAGTAGAAATAGTATTTAAAAATTACTGTTTGTTTATAGATGTATGGAAACACTTATGCAAACAGTATGTATGTTTGTGTACATATATATATACACACTGACATATATACATACATAAAAGAGAAACCAATGGAGGGAAGAGGTTTCTTAGTTTTCTATTTTTTCTTAATGTGTATTTTAATTCAAAGTTTGAGAGAAATAAAATGTTAACATCTCGTCCTTCAAAATTTGGAAGTGTGAGTACCCTCATTCTCTATTCCTTACTGTACAGCTTTCTTCAAAATTCAGGAAGAAAATATTTTAGAATACTTTGTATATTTAGCTGTAAAACTAGAATTAAACTGTTAAGTCACTCTCCTATATTCAGAAGGCACAGACTTGAAGGTACCTGTAAAATTCCAGACTTTTGCATGTATTGTGTTTGCGTTCCTCTGAGACCTACAATTCCCCTGAAGTAGGTCTGTGATGAGAAATAGCCAAATCTGACCACCAGGAGATAAAATAATCTTCCAGGTGTAATGATTTGTACAGTTCTGAGAGGCTTGGTGTGTGTGTGTGTGTGTGTCTGTGTGTTGGGGGGAGGGGGCTGTTGGGGGGCATTTGGGTCTGAGAGGTGGGCTGTGAATGTTCTGTGCTGAGCAATGATGAGTTCCTGTTTGCCTGACTGCCAAAATGAAGGCTTCTACACTTGAACTGAGCTCAGAATAAAAGCTGTGGTTTTAAAGTTTCAATTACAGTGTCTGAATCCAAGGTAACAGATATGTTACTTCCTCCTAGGAAGTGCTTTCTAAGGTAGTGTCCCCGGATTTGTGTTCAGAGGCTTTCATGCAAGCAATACCCTGTGATTTATCTTCAACAATTTCCACGGGAAGCTTTTTGACTAGCGAGACGTTGGATGCCAGCCCTATTGACACTGGTAAGTGTTGGGGTTTTGTGATTTTTGTAAATGAAATACTCTGTTCTCAACCTTATTTTTATAGCAGAATGGATCCGGCTGACTGGACATAAATCTGTCTGAAAAAGGTTAATATGGAACTTCACTTAGGAATTGTCAATACATGTTTTAGAGTGTAACTGGAATATCCACGTTCTGTGCTCGTGAGGTTTTTTAACTTATAATTTAGCCTTACAACACGTCAGGTTTGGCAGAGGTTATTTTAATAAGCAACTGTAACACTAGCAATTTTCAGGTGGCACAATTTTTAGAAAATATGATCCCCAAACAATACACTGAGGAAAGTTTTCCAATTAGTGTATACCATAAATTTTTAGAGTGCCGATAGTTGTCCTGCTGTTAGGAGAATTGCATCAATATCTTGTTTCACCGAAGTGTTACTGTAGTAATTTCTAGTAACTTGTAAAAATGCCACTTTTAGTGCCACGTTGACTTGGAAGTGTGTTTGTATCCTTTTTCGCTTGCAGGCTGCCTCTTGATCTTAAGATAGCTTTGTATAAAATTAAAAATGATGTCTTTATAATGTATAGTCGTTCCTCTATATACTGGCTTTATCACCTCTGAGCATGGAAGGTGGGTTTGAAAGTGATTATGTAGTGACCTGTAGATTTATTTACTTTAAGGCTAAATATTGTCTTAATCTGAACTGTATCTGATCTCATTCATACCCATGTATGTTTGAGTTATTTTGTGTTCATCAACCAATTCTTGAAGATTATTTCTTGAGCCACTGAAGTCTCAGGCAGGCTCTGTTTTAACTACGATGTTCTGAATGTGTAAGTGGCATTTTGAGTAATGAACTTTGTAACTTGCATCGAATTGTGTTTTACTTAGGTAAAGCTCAAACTCTAAGATCGTTTGCTTGCAGCCTTTCTTTCCTACTGCTTTTAGTTGTTATAAAAAAAAAAGGTGTCAGTATTGACAGGAAACACCTTATAAAAAAAAAAGCACAACACAAAAAAAAAAAAAGAATCAAGATGTTAAGGGTATTTTAGGATACTAAGCTGTGTGTTTTCAGGTGAGTTCATGTGAGTGATTTCTATGAAAAACTGAGTGAACATCTAGCTTCTTATTTCAGGATTGTCTTCTGACAGTACAGAAGACCGAATTTTGAAAAAAACGGGAAGCTGCCCTTGGAGCTCCTTCCTGCCTTTTACCTCACGGCTGAGGCAAGAGAATCTGTCAAGAGCACCTGAAACCTGGTTGCCAGAAGGAGCAACGTTCCTTTATAAGGGCAGTGAGACTCAGCAGATCTTGGAGAAATGTGGTGGAGATTTGAACTCTTCATCAGAGAACAATGTGCATTTCCAAGGTACCTGCTATTTTGAAGCATTTGTGTGCTACACTGTCATACAGAAAGAGGAATTTAATTGGGATTATGCATTTCTGCATTATTTTCAGCCTATATTTTATTGTCAGTGTGTTCCATATATGAGAACTCCTGCTTTGATGATCATCATCCTTTGCTTTATGGTATATGTCTGCACAGTATAGTGCAACAAAAAGATAATCTGATCAGACATCCGATCATATTCTGTGCAGCTTCCTGCTACTATGGCTAGATTGTTTCTGTTGTTTGTGCTTATTGCTTGTGTCTCTATAACTCTGTATTAAGGGATTCAGAGCAGATAACAATATATAATTCTTATCAACTATCAACCCTATCTGAATGAATCGCCAATTAACAGGCTGCCAGAAGGTCCGTGCTCTCCAGTGTGCACAGTTCTGTGCTCTCTAAATGTGCACATTTAATGATTCATGAAAATAAAAACATCTTTATTAGCTGTCGTGCAGATAACTCCAGTGTTTTAATTTGAATTACTTCCTTCTGCAATGTGTTTGGAAACAGAAACACAGAACTTCAGATTCATCTAAAGAAGGACGTTCTCCTTGTGATCCAAATTGTCCTTCCTGCTCAGAGCAGAGCCAATTTACACCAGGTTGCTGAAGGCCTTGTTGGGCCGAGTTCTGAGTATCTCCAGTGGCAGAGATTCCATACCACCCAGGCAGCTTGCTTAACAACCTTCACTGGGACTTTTTTTTATATATAACCAGAATTTCTTGTGTTCCATCTTCTGTCAATTATCTTTCATTCTGTTACTGGGCATGTTCAAGAAGAGCATGACTGCATCTTCTCTCTGCTTTGTTTTAGGATGTTGCAGGTACCAGAGATTTGTTCCTCACCTTTTCTCCCACGCTCAAGCCTTTTAGCAAAACTGAACAAACCCTGTTTTTAAGCTTCTCTTTGAAAATCATGTGCTTCATCTTTCCACTAATCACTGTTGTCTCCTCACTGGACTTGCTCCATTGTGTCAGTGTGTACTTTTCATACCGGGAAGCCCTAAATAGGACACAGTGCTTCTTATGCAGTCTTGCAAGTACTTAACAGAGAGCCTCTTGACCGTAGCTTTTCATTTAAAAACAAAATAAATTCAGCACTTTCTTGCTGCTGTTTGTTCCTGCATTGTAAGAATTGGATATTGTAATTTTTTTTATTTTTTTACAAACTAGTATTTGTATACCTGCAGAATTCTATGTGCTCTACCTATTCCATCTGAAAAGTAATCTCTTTTCTTACAGCTCTAGCAGCTGAGCTTGATTTGCCTGAAATGGAGAGGCATTTTCCTAACTCCCATCATCAGCTCTTTCAGCCTTTGGAACCAAGTTTTGACTTGGATATCTCATCATCCATTTCTCAATACAAGATTTCCCAAGACAACAGAGAATTTAGGAAGGTACTACAGAAAAACTCATGCTTGAAATTTACGTAAGATTGAAATGTGTAATCCTTCTACTGTGTTGTGTTTATATGAAACACGGTAATAGTTTTTGACATATGTAGAACTGGAGGCATTTTTGCTGTTAGCAAGGAGAGATGTGATACAAAAAGCAAAAATTGCCATTAACCTTTCATCCTTCATATTCCTGAGAAAATAAAATCTTAATCAGGATTTTTTCTGCCATTAGACTTCAACAGAAAGTCAAGACACATCTGCATTTCTAGATGGGAGAAACTCCAGCCTGAATATACAAAGAGGCAGTCTGCCTTCTGGTCTTGAAACAAACAAGCCCAACACCATTACATCGGAAGAAGAGTCTCTTAAAGAAAATGGTATTCTGGGTATGTACAATGTAGCCTGATCTATGATTATAAAATCAAACCATCGCTAATATGGAACTACCAACCTTTAAAATTGGTTTGCTGGGTTGAAACTGGAAAGAAACTATTCCCTTCTAAATCAACAGTGACTAACACAAAAGCAGACTGTTACATTCAAGCCACTGTAATGGATATTAGGTTACTTTGGTGTTGTGGTCTAACCCCAGCAGGCAGCTCAGCACCATGCAGCCGTTTGCTTGTTCTCCTCAGGAGGAGTGGGGGAGAGAATCAGAAACATAAAAGTTTGAGAGCTCATGGGTTGAGATAAAGGCAGGTGGGTGTTCAGCCACCTCCAGGCAAGCAGGGCTCATCATGCCTAACAATTTCTTGAGAACACAAATGCCATCACTCCAAACTTCCCCCCCACCTTTCTCCTTCTTTACCCCAGCTGTTATTGCTGAGCATGACACCACACGGTATGGGATGCCTTTGGCCAGCCTGGGGCAGCTCCTGGCTGTGTCCCCTCCCAGCTCCTTGTGCATCCCCAGGTACCTCGCTGGCAGGGCAGCACCAGGAGCTGAGCAGTCCTTGGCTCTGTCTGAGCACTGCTCTGCAACATCCATCAGTGTGTGACCACTGCTATTGTCATCAAAAATCCAAAACATTACTATACTAGCAAAAAAAATTAATTCTATCTCAGCCAAAACCATGATATGTGTGGTAATTATGATGTAAGTGAACAAATTTCAGTGCTGGCTGGGACTAATATTTTAATTATTTTTTTGGAAAAAAAAATCATGCGTACATCCCTCATTTTGTACATTTGAGGAAATCAATCAATTTATGAAACTTTGTTTTTTGAAGCATGCATTAGAATTTCTGTACTCTTCTTCTTTCTCTGTTATGCATTGTGTTACTCAAGAAACCATCGGACTTTCCTCTTACACTGTCAAGATGCACCAACAGCCACTGTGTACTGCGTGCTGTGAAATTTCTTCTGATTATAAACTGCCTTATCTACCTTCAGAATAAAGGAAGAGGAAGAGAGAAAGGAATAAACTTTGAGATTACAGCGTAATAAATAGTAGATTAAAAGCTTTAGGATTCTACAGCAGCACTAAGCTAACGGCAGCTCATAACTGGAAAAGATTTTTGTTAATGTTCTGCAGTTGAATTATTAAAATTATAAACTTAATGATAAATTGTTAGCATTATAAATTATAAACTTAATCTGTGGCATATTCTAAAGAAAGAACTGATCTGACATTCCAAATGCAGTGAGCAGTAACATAAGTATTTGTGAAGCTCTAAGTTACCAAGAACCAGGTGGTTCAGCACAATGGTGCTTCAACCAGTAACAGTAAAAGTAACACAGTATTTACGTAGTGGATGGATTAATAATAGAAATGTTCCTGGTTATTTGCATGCATGTCCACGGTATTTTGGGAAATACATACTGGTCATCTTTGAAGCTGCAAGCAACTGTGCTATGTTTATTATGCAGCTTTCACTTCAGACTGCAGGTACTAGTACTAAAACAAAATGCCAGAAAATGCTTACACTGTGAGACTACCGGGGGTGACAGCAAAGGGGATTTAGGGAACTCCTGCTAGCTGTAACATTCACTTTCTAAATTGCTCACAGAAACAATCTCTGTGCTTTAAACTTCTCTATTATATTTCCCCATCTCTTTTAAGTTTTCTTTTTATGAGCCCAAACCAATTATTAAAAAAAAAAAAAAAAAAAAAGATAAGAAATCAAAAGCTAACTCAGGTTGTCAGTTTGAGGTAGGTTGATATTTTTGTTTCATCATCTGGAGAATTTTCTAGCGATGGCTGATCCTGCAGGGTAATTCCTCCCTCCCTGTAGTCTCTTTTGATATTTTAATAACTGCTATTTATCTGGAGACAATATTCCTCATGCATATAATACCAGATATCTTGTTAAACAATACAGAAATTTCTCAAAACAGAAATACTTAAAGGTTTATACGATATATTGCTATCAATATACAAAACGAACCAAAAAAACACTACCACCAAATAAAACACTAATAATGTGATGCTGGAGTCCATGTAACCAGTTTTATCAATCTTATGTCAGAGACATATTAAACACACACACGCGCACACACATTTAAAGAAACCTTGTTTGGTAGATGCTGTAGGACTGAAATGCCTCCCCAGTAATTAAAATATTAACACCCTATTTTTCTCCTTTCTAGCTTCTTCTTTCTAGCTTCTTCTGGGGAAAAAAAAATAATCTTGATTTGTATACTTAGAATCAAAGGGAAAGATAATTTAGGGTACAATGCTGTAACTTTTAGGACTCATAGAATGGGTTGGGCTGGAAGGGACCTTAAAGCCCACCCAGCTCCACCCCCTGCCATGGGCAGGGACACCTCCCACCAGCCCAGGTTGCCCAAAGCCCCATCCAGCCTGGCCTTGAGCACCTCCAGGGATGGGGCATCCACAGCTTCTCTGGGCAGCCTGGGCCAGGGCCTCACCACCCTCTGAGGAAGTTTCTTCCAACTGGCTGACCTAAATGAACAGCCGTCAATGTTCCAGTTTGGAACATTGTCTTCTACTATGAATTGTTTCTGCCCAAGTAATGATGTTTCTAATCGCTTTCTTCCTGGTTTTGAGATTTTGCTGGGGGTTCACAAGAAACTCAGAGGACTGCAATTTGCAGTGTATAAATGGATATAAATACAAATCTAGTGATGTACAATGCAGTTATGTTAGCAGCATTATGAAGGTTATCCCTAAACATATTGTAATAAGCAACAAAAAATGTTTCTTTTTTGTGTACAAAATGAATCAAATATTTAAAAAAACAAACTGAATCGAAGTTGAATGAATCAGGTATTCCTGATTCAGGTATACCATGGAATGAATGGTATTCCATTTTACTAAATTTCAGCAGACTTGCACATTCCTCACCAGTCCTGTTATGGAGGGATTTTTTAAAGCTGAAATTGTGTTAAGATAGAACTCTGACTCTAACTTTCCGAAACAGGTTCAGATGAATCTTTCCAGCCCCTGAGAGCGGAATCTTCTCTGAGTGATCTCAGCCAGAATGCTGATCAGCCAGAGGACCGTAACGTAATGTTAGAGACATCTTCTGGACAAAACCCTGGGATTAGAGTAAGAGACAATGAGAACGGTATTTCATCAGCCAGAGAGTATGAAGAACTGACAAGAAGCATGGAGTGTGTTAGTCTGCAGTGTTCAACGGAAGAGACACGAAACGAAAGTCTGAGCTCACTGGAGGAACAAAAATCATTTTATCAGCTAAATACCACACCTGTTCCAGTGGATGAAACTTCCCCTCAACACCTGTTCAATGAGAGTGTAACATTCAGGCAAGAGGCTCTGTCTTCTGAAGAAAAACTACCTGTCAAGGTATTTGATAGGAAGTACGTGAAGCTTCCTGAAAAATTTCTTCATGTACATGAAGCAAACAAAGCTGTGGCAGTAGACTCTCAGTGCAATAGCCATGTAAAGGAGCCAGATCAAGGATTTCCAGAAGTACAGAAATCCTCCTGGATTACCAGGGAAACCAGCTTGGAAGTCCCAGGCATTCGTTTACAGGCTGTACAACAGAATGTTTCTTTCCTGGGAAGACGTGAAAAACATTCCAGTTCTGTGCCTGGAAGCTCATGTCGTATTCCAGTCTGGGTATGTGAAACAGATTTTTCTTTTAATTTGTGCAGGTATTTTGTTTGTTTACCTTTTTTTTTTTTTAACCAAGCTATTTTATGCCTTCAACATCAGAAAACTTGGCAAATGTTCACTTTATGGCTCCAGTTTGACTTGCCTGTTTCCTGCACTTCTGCTCTCCTGTTTGCTCTTTCATCGAAGCACTGAAGTAATCAGCAGTAGCTAAATTGAGCGCTATCTTACTTAAATGAACAGCCCCTACCCCAGTTAAAAAGGGGGCTAAATAGTTTAACCAAAGCATAAGTAAACTTAAAATAGGTTTGACAAAGTGGTGGGTTTTTATAAATTTATTTATTTATTTTTAAAAGGCGTGGCCTGAATGAAAGTAGATTTCAGACATAAGTTAAACTTGAGGGGTGGAAGAGGTGATTTTGTTGTTTGGTTGCTTTGAGTTATTTGTTTTTATTTAGCAGTGTTTAGGGAAAAAAAAAAAAAAAAAACATACATTGGATTTAGGTTGCAGGGTAAGGCAAGGTGCTCTATTTCCTTAGTGCTTGGGGCAGACTTTTCTTCTACATTTTGAGTGAGCCTCATCTTTAGGACAAGCTACTACCTGTTGCTATTTCTGCAAATAGTGGTGGTTTTTAAAAAATATATTTTAATATTAAGTATATATATGTATTTTTAAATGTATACAATATGTATATATATTAATATCTTTTACACTGAGGTCTTGTGTAATCTGTTTGGTAGGAAACTGAGTCGGGGCATGGTATTATGGAGGAACCTGAACTCACTCTGATAAGCTCAAATGACATCAGCGTTGTGGAATCGGATGTTGAGCATATGAACCAAGAAAAAAGTGAAGAGGATAAAATCAGTAACCCAGCAAGTGCGGATAAGTCTGACCTTAATGATTTTACTGAGGTGAGTCTTAATTAGTGTAATTCTGAAGTTGAGATCTAGTGGGTGAAGGGATTTATTTTAAAAAGGAATTTATTTTAAAAGTTTTGGAATGCTTTTAGAAACATGCTTTCTAATTCTTACTGTCAAGATTCATTTCTGATGTGTCTTTTTTGTATCTAAATGCAAAAAAATGTCTTGTTTCTGTCTCATGTGTGTCAATGGTGCAGTACTACTGCTTGACTTAAACTTGTGGTGGATTTTATGCATTTTTAACTAATGTTTCTTTTTGAGACAGGAAAGAGAATTTTTACCACTGGTTCCAGATGCAGATTATTCCATGTTTGTAAGGCCTGACAGTTCTTCCAGAGCCCAGAGTCCCAATGACAGACAGCATCCATCACATCAGACTGCAGGTAATTAACTAGGAGCTTCTCAGGTCTTCGGTACGTTTTGAGGCTTTAAGATGCTTTTGATGCAGTAATTATTACAGCATTTGTCTTGGCAGTACTGCTTACAGGTACTAGATTCTCTAGCTCTGAATTGCTGCTTATTTTGCAACATTCATTATTTACAATGTCATCTCCTAGCACCATTTCTTAAAGCAGTCAAGGTCAGTATTTTATGAGAAATGGATTGGAATGTTTGAGTTATTAGAGGTGACAATGTTCTTTGCTGAAAGTGAGAAATCTCCTTTTCTTTCTCAGTGATGCGCCTGGAGTTTCCTTCTGCATCAGGGAGTTTGCAAGAATCTTTTTTGAAAAGAAAAAAGAGCTTTATTCAGAAATCTCTGGAAAGAGTAGAAGAAATCAAAAACAGAGAGAGGAAAAATGAAAAGCCAGAAGCCAAACCGTTTCAAAGAAGGAAGTCTGAGAAGTTAAGCAGGCAAAAGGAGTCTTTTCTTCTCCCTGGTATGTTTATCTGATGTAGGAGTAGATATGCTTTTAGTTGCTTTTTAATATCAAAGAACAGCTTTCCCATTTCTTTCATTGTTGCTTTTGCAGGTATCTCAGGAATGTGAGAAATCTCAGGATGTGAGGAATTTTTTTCCCCATTTAACTACCTCTTCAGTGGTGTAAAGGCCCTTAATAATCTGTTTCATACATGTATGGCCATAAGGTGTCTTATCTCTGTATTTAGAGACCTCATTCATCTCTGATGTCTGTTAATAGGGGTTTGGAAGTCAGCTGTTGAAAAGCAGTCGCCTAAGGAGTCAGAGACTTAATTTCAACAGAAAACTTAATCTCCATTGTGTCCATTCTTCTTTTCTTTGTTGTAGTTTCATCTTTCAGTCTTTGAAACCTCTTGTGTTTTTGAGTGCTCTTGTGCTGAAACACCCTGTCATTGACATTCCTTGATATTTTACAACCAGTGCCTTGTGTTAACTCAATTTGAGTCTTTATTGGGGCACAGTGCAGCTTTATATGAACATACGTAGTAGCTAGATTAAAATCCATTTTCCGTGTCTTTTGAAGGGAAAAAAGGTGCAGTTGTCAACCAGTTGAAGAAAGTAGGAGAAGTGAAAGTATCTTCTCCAGAAGACAGGAAGGCTGGAAAAGTAGAAATGCATCAGCGTACTTCAAGGTACTGCATTAATACAAAGAAATTTGGATTAAACAGAAGTAGTTTGTGCCTTGTGACAGCACTTTGTGGTCTTCCAGTTGCATCTTAAGGGACACTGACAGCTCCAGAAGGGGGGTTTTGTGAGGGCCAGGAGCAGGAGAGGAATTATAAGTGACCCTTGATTATTTGATAGCAAAGTCAAAATTGTTTTTTTCTTAATTTCTAGTAATTGAGACTCCCTTAATGTTAATGTACTGCTTTGCCACTTTGCTTCCTGACAGTATTTTCCCATTGTTTTGACAGGCTTTATAATCAACTAGAAGAAGTAAAAACCAGAAAGGAGGAAAAGAAAAGGCAAGAAACTTCTGCTAAAAACAGAGAAAAGGCTAAGGAGTTTCAGAAGGTAAAATCATGTTAGGATCTTGTGCTGGTCAGTTCTCATTTCACTGAGCTTCCAATCAGAGATGGTTCTGCAAGGTGTGACTGAACAGACCATGGACTGAATCAGAATGTTTCAGCTTAGCTTCCGGGGAGCTGTTACCTAACGTTTGGTAACTCAGGGGAGCTTTTAAGGATTTCATAGGTGTTGCTATGGGCGTATCACGCGCTTCAGACAGCCTGAGTGGACACAGTCACTGTGTTTGTAAGTTCAGAGCACCTCTTAGGGCTGAAATCTTTCTGTAAAGGAAATTAATTGGCTTTGGCTGTTCCAGGGATCTTCTGTTTCTACTGAGCTGAGCATACCTGTGCTCAAGGTGGCAAGGATCCTGCTTGGATGTGCCTACGACCAGGAGCTGCTATATATAGAAGCTATACAGTTGCTGTTAAAATGTTCAGGCTACACCCAAGTAGTACCTGTTTTCTGCTTTACTACATTTTTAGTATGACTGTTTTCTCATGATTTTCTTATTTGCAGAAAATGCTAGAAAAATTACGAGCCAAGAAGACAGGGAAAACACCTTGACTGGCAGAAGCCTTTGAGTGCTCTCCATTACTGGACAGGTACACTTCAAAAGAGCAAGTACTTGTAAGATCTTCTTTCAATACGGTGTCTGTGTAATACCTCATGTAACAGTTCAGCAGTAATTCTGCAGACCTTAATTACTTTTAACCTGTGGCAAACTGTTTACTAGAATGACAATGCTCAAAGACTTCTGTGATGTGCATTTTTGGTTCTAAGAACTTGTAATACACATTGTGTAAAAATAAAGGTTCTTTTTTAAAAAAAAATTCATCTAGGGGTTCCTTCTGAAAAGCTGCATCTTTGTGCTTTATGTAGTTCATGTTTACTTAGATGCATCTTAGAGCTGAGAGCAGGTGTAAGCTGAACTGCTACTGCAAGGCTGAATTTTGTTAATTTGGTAGAATACCTGTGTAGCTGTATGAAATTTGGCCCTTGTTAAGCTAGGGAAATACCTGGCCCTGGATAAGCAAAGTCTCAAAGGTAGAAGCTGAAGGAGCTTCTCTTTAAACAATTAAAGCTGCTTTTTTTTTGTTCCAGAAAGCACTATCAATGCTGTTGTAGCTGAAGAGACTTTCAAAGTGCTCCCTCTCCCCTAAATAAAGCACATAAGCCAAAGGCAGTTTGTCATTCCTGGCATTAAGTGACATGGAGGGTTGCTGCAATGTGGGGGGAGCAGAGGGAGTAATTATGCAGCTGAAGGGGGGAGGATCTACTCTCATCTTCACTCACCCCAGTGGTTTTAAAGGGCTGCTCTATCTTACGCTTGAATATTCTTGTTTCTTTCTCATGAAGGGAAAAAGGAACCAACTTCACCATGTTTTTTAGTATAGGGTTAAGAAATAATCCCCAGCTGCAGCTGCTCCTTTCAGACATTACTTTTATTTAAATGTTGTGGCATGTACGGAATAAACACCCCCCAAGCCTGAATACAGTTGAGTTCAAATAACAGAAGTGGGGGAAAAGCAGTTGGTAACACACTTATTTCAGTTTCCAGAGCAGTAAGGAAAGTTAGTGTTAATTGCAGTAATTAATGTCACTCTAGCATCCTTTCTGCATTTAAGAGCTGTTCTGTTCTTCCTTGCAACAAACTTGCAGCAACATCACAGCAGGACCTGAAGGAGAAGAGCACACATTAGCACTGTAATTCCAGAGAAAAGCCCTCTGAACTGTTGTCTTCATCTTTTCCTACTGTTCAAAGCAACTAATTTGGTATTATGGTGCCCATGGAAAAGCAGTAGTGCAGGAACATGTTTATATATCCCTTAATGAAGATGTTTATGGGCAAAAAAACCATTTTCCAATGCCAGTTCTTACTATAATAATTTTATTCCAACCAGTGTCTCTAGCATTTCAGTCCTGCACTTCCATCCCCTCCCCCACCTATTTTGGATCTACTGAAAGACTTCCATGCAGCTCTAGGCACACCACACCCAGCAGCAGCATCCTCTCTCCATCAGCACCTCAGAAAGGTGACAGGGCAGTAGATCAACTTTTTTCACTGTAAGCAGCTTTACTGCGTCAGGTTTTATCTCCTCAGAAATAGACCACAGCACACACAATGTGTCCACAGCATCCTGCAGAGGATTTCAATGTACGGTCACCGCGTTAAGAGCTGCTGGTGTTTCAGCCATGCAAACCCTCTTTGAAGTGACCCTGAGCATCCTTTTAGTACCAGCAATTCTGGCAAGCATCTCACCTTTGGACGTGTTCTGGCAGCACTCAGGTGTTGTTTTTCACCCCTCTGAAGTTCAGTAACTGACACTACAAGCTAAGAAGTCAGATGGTTAGTGCAGGAAGCTGCAGTTGGATGCAGACTGCATGGAGCAGACATTTGTTTTCCCCAGTCTGTATGCACAACTCTCTCCACAGCAGCTCCTGGAGCCTGAATTAAGAGGTGGAGATTCTAACTAGAACTCTTGAGTCCTTGGTAGCCCAAGTGTCAGAACTGCCCAACGCCTCAGCAGGAACCTGCTCGGTTAACTTTACCAGCAAAAGGCAGGGAGCATGTGTCTGACCTACGTTCAAGCTGTATTCCCAGCAGATCTAGTGCCACGCAAGGTGGCAGTTCAAGAGTCTGATGGACTTGCTTTATGGTCATGTCCACAGCCTACCAGAAACATAACATCCTAGCAGCTTTGGTAATGACCAGATAGTCACTGCTACTACCACCAACTTAAATCAGTATTTAAGTCCCACATTTAAGTTTCCCATCCTTTTTCTTAAGGACCAACCAAAATCGTGCCAATATGCATTAAGCCAAGCTGCGTATCAACAAGCCTAATACGTTAAATGTTCCAAAAAAGAATTAATCATGACCAGCAACAGCCCTTGCTTCAGGAGCTACAAAATCACTGTCTAACTCTGTGGCATCCACTCAATTTACACAAATGCCCAGGTTTGACTTGAGAATGAAGCAGCTTGCCCAGGTACTGCCAACACCCAGGGTCATCCACTACTGGACAAGGATTTCTGTCTTTCACCAGACAGTTTACTTCAAGGCCTATCAAGTTAACAACCACAGTTCTGTAAAGTTGCCTGAAACCTTCCGTACTAACACGTAACTCAGTGCTTACCAGTCAAAGCGGTCGTTATCCTCTTCCACAGCTAATCCTTTTAAAATACAAAATTCCCTTCGTTCTGTACTCCAAATCACCTGTTAAAAAAAATAAAAACTGAATACACCTGGGAGAACCAGCTCTCCCACTGGAACGTTGTGCATGGAATAAGGAATGCACTCAAATCCTTGAAGAGGACAAGGTTTGTATCAGCAGAAATACCAGGTTTAACACACACAGCAGAATGAAAACCAACGATGCCAAATGCCGAACTGCTGTAGCACTGTTTTTTGAACACCCCATCAGAGGAATGCTGCTGGGTGCAGATACCATACAGTGCAACAGGTGCAATAGCTCAATCCACCACTGCACACGTTAAGGTTCAAGCTCTTTCTATACCCACTTCAAAAAAGCTGTCATGCATTTAAGAGAAAAGAGATTCCATCAATTTCAGCAGCTTCAGAACTTCTAAGTATCTACTTTTTACAAAGCATTTTGCATGTTTTACTTTAAGCTATGCTCTGTAGAACAGAATCCAGGAATTTCAACAGTATAGTAGTAAACTGGCTGAGAAGCTCAGAATTTAACTCAAACATTTGAAGAATTTGAAGCTTACAGATAGAAAAGCAGTATTTATTGCTCAAATAACACAAACCCAGCATGCTATGAAGTTATTTCAAGACCAGGCAGACACTGGACTGCTGGCTTTTTTCCTTTTTAAAAAGCTATAGCAACCAAACCAAGAACTAGTAAATAACTGCTTTAGGATTAAAGCTGGAATAGACTCTCCCAAGACAAGAAAACTTAACCCACAATCAACAATGGAATAATTTTGATACCCACACACAAAAAAATGGCTGAAATTCAAGCCATGTAATTAACCATGTTAGTTACACTTGAAATCTCAGAACACATCTTTTGACTCTTACCAAGCTTCTCCATTTGCACCACTTTTCATTTGTGTGAAATGCAGAAGCCAGTACCTGAAGGAGAACATAATGCATTATATTTATTCCTCTAACAGTAAATGAAGATTTGTCTTGTAGTTTTATCCCACAGAGCTAACAGGTAGTTCAATGGGTAAAACTAAACCACAAGTTTGTTCTGTGAGGCGTTTCCAACGACATGAACCTACAGCAGAGATCCCATCGGGATAGACCTCACCACTGCCGTTATCACCAACTAATACAGCAGATAAAAATCCAACAGACCGGAGAAGCATAGAACAGTAGTTGCTCCTCAAGTACCTTTTTACTTTTTTCAAGAAATTAGGGGAAGAGGGAAGGGAAACAATGCACTAAGACGCAGTGCATCCTTCTTATCAGCAACAGTTTTAATATTAAAAAGCTAGCAGTACCTTAATTGGAATTAACAGAGGAAATTAACTACAGCATTTATTTAAACACTTGCAACACACATAACATATGTACTTCCACAACCTCAGCTGGCATACTAACCTGCTGCAGGTTCATATTCCTGGGAAATGGCTTCTTGTTCTTCTCATTTTCTCTATATGCCTCCTGAAAAAGCAAAATCATTACGAGGTTACGAAGTGACACGTATGTGCACACAAACAAGTAGAGCCTACAGCATTACTTAAGTGATTTCTGATCACCAGAAGCATTTCTTATAACCTCGCTCACGGGAATCACACTTAAAGCTATGACATCCGAATATTAAATGCAACAATGTAATTTGACAGGTTTTTTAATTAATAAAAAGTCAACCTTTATCTTTACTTACTGACAGAACACTGCTTGTTAATTCAGAATGGCCACCCAGAATAAAGTGAGATGAAAAACACAGAACTGGTTTGTTCAGAAAGGCTATTCTCACTCACTCTCTTCAGAGCAGTTGAACATTTTGCCAATCATCACAACAATTATCTTACAATACTCTCACGTTTGGAGGAAGGCGAGTATCTGATGCAGCAACAATGCATCTCCCCAGTAAGAAAAAACTGCAATGTACCAGCTCAGTGGACTGAAGTAAGACAGCTAATTTGCACTCATCAACGGACATTAAGAATTTGGTATCAAACCAACTTACCAAGACTTTCCTTCAGACTGGACTGGTCGGTGGGCTTCCTGAAAAAACAGCAAGTTACAGGATCTGAGAAACAGTTCTAAGTTCAGCTCAGGTATTCTTATATTTGATATCAGACATTTCTTTTGAGATCAGAGAGGTGGCCCAGTCTGTCATGAAACTACCAACGAAATCTACCTGCAATTTAAGAAATTTGAATGCCACAGCACATGAGATGCAAGTAAAGGAGTTACCTACATCAACTGGTATTGGGATGTCAAGAAAACACGTATGAGATTCCACTCTAAGACAGCTTACAAGTATGCTTTCGTGAACCAGTTACAGGACTGGAGCACTTCATGCCTTTCTTGTAGCTGCCAACCTTCCTCTGTAGGCAGGAGGCCAAATTTAAAAGGAAAACAAGCCAACCCTTGGGGTTTTGTTTTATTGTAGCTACATTTTAGACCATGCTTGCATAAACATTTCACTAATTAAGCCTGTTACAGGCCTCATTGTCACCACTGCAATGAGCTTTACAGTGAGGAAAGCACAACCTGTTGCTGTTCTAGCCACGTTGTTCAATTCAGACACATGGTGAGTTGTGTCTATTTGCTGAAAAACGAGGCATAACAACGTTTTAAAACTCAGCCAGTTAGCTTTCTGATCCTTTTATTTGTGTTTCAAAAACACAACTACTTCCTCAGATACCTCCCACTGCAAGAAATGTTTTGGAACCAAAAATATTATCACGTAACAGTTCCAAGAAATTTTTCATCTACTTGTTTCAACAGAAACACCAAGTTCAATCAGCATGTCCACATTAAAACCATGATGCCAGCAGCTGAAACACTGTAGTGCTGCTTTTTGAACACATCAGGAAGACACTGCTGGGCACACATGCCATACAGCGTGCAGGCTGATTACTTATTGCAGTATTCAACGTACTTCTCTGGAAAAAAATGAATTCTTAGAAACACAAAGCTTACCTCTTTCCCTAATGCGTTCCACAGGAGTGTGCTGAAGTAAAAGATCTGTCATCAGAAGGTCAGCAAACAGCTGTCAAGAATTCAAGCAGTCCAAAAACAAGTTACAACTGCTCAGTGCTGCCAAGCCGGTGAATTCATCCACAAAGTCTGGGAAGGAAAAAATGCAACGAGACTGTACTTCTGCAAAGGCAATATAAAATTCCCACCCCAAATTCAGGATTTAGATTAAATGCTGCTTGAATAAATGCAAAGATTGTTCCTTCATATAAGTAACACAACCAATACATGCATCAGCTGTGGGTTGCGAAGAAGGTTTTTTTTTAAGCACTAGGTTCCAGGTTTTTTGTCTACAGCACCAGACAAAAACTGAACACGTGCTGAAACAAACTGAAGGCATCAGCTTTCACCTTATTTTTCACTATCTTTAGGCTATATTTGAAGAGCACACAGAAATGAAGCTCAATTCCTCAGTCTCCTGTATACTTACCCCATTAATAACTGTCACCTTTCGTATCATGCTTCCTGTTTTTAGACAGGTGTAATTTGGACTACAGTAACTGGGGCAACGAGTTCAGTATCAGATACACTGTCACAGAAATCAATTTGGCACAGCACAAGTTCTCTAGTCTAGTACCCTTCCTACAGCAAAGGCCAGAAGATGATGCTGTGCTCCTACCCTCTTACAGGGAAGAATGCTCTCAGAAAGCTTCACTACTTGCTCAGCTACATCTCGTACCTTCCTATCTTGCAGATTTTTTCCTGTCCATTTACCCTACCTAAAGTGTTTTTCTTCCACGCTATTTCCTGGGCCCTCCAGAAGACACAAGAACTTGACACATGAAAGAAGCTTCTTGAAGGAAGCTTCACAGCTTTAGAGATCTATGTCCAGGACTAGCTCCCTTCTGATGTTCCCAAGACACAGGGCATGCATTAAGATGGGATTTTACCAGAGGGAAGCAATCAGAAGCTGCAGCTGCATGACACCCACCAGTACAGCAATTGTTGGCAGGGCACCACCAGGACACTAAGTGCACAGTAGCTCTCCAACCTCCTCAGCACAGAAGGCTCCTGGTAATATCCAAAACAAATCGCATTTGTCCTTGGTTGAGAGGCCCTGTGGCATTCAACACCAGGTTAAACAGAAGTATTTCCATATATGCCTTCTAAAAAAACTGCCTTTAATATGCAGGTACTGCAGAATTATTTTACCTTCCATTCAAGCAAAATCTACAGGCTCTAAGTTTGGTTAGACTGATAAAAGGAGTGTTACTTTGAACTTTCTCTCTCGAGGCTTTACATGTAGCAGTGAAATGTGATTTATTCACCTGAAACATACTAGACTGTTTTTCAAAAACATTTTGTTTTGGTAGCAAAAGCTACCTGAAGAAAATAGCCACTGCAAACCAAGTTAACAGCTCACCTCTTGCATCAGTTGACTGGTATTTCATTATCCAAAAGCAACAGAAACTGGAAAAAAAGGAAAGGGATAAGAACTATTAGATACGATGAAGTAACGTGAGATTCCTAAAGCCAAAAGCTACATTTCAGCAATCAATTTAACAGCTGTAACAAGCTGGCTTTTCATGGGTACAAATCCAGTTCTAATCAGAATTGAAATTTAGTTCATTTCTGAGTCACTCAGCAGTTGAACAGAAAAATTCATCACGTGAACTGCAGAATGAGCAGCACTCCCTCCACACGCCACCTCGCTATGCCTTACCCAGCAAGAACCCCACTCCTAGGTCCTGGATGAGTCTGTGAAGCCACGGAGTACTTCTCAGGTAGATGCCTAGAAGAGTTACATTCAGCCATTAATTTTGGACCATGATTAAGTATCATCTTCAATTACTGAAGAGTAGGTTTTTGTAGTCTTATTCCTCCCTACAGCTATTAAGTTGCAACAGGGAAACCTCAAGGGAAATCTTCAAAGATTTGAAACCTTAATTCAAGCAAATAAGGAATGCAAGTTGACCAATCCTCTTTGTACTGAGCACCCGCAGTGAATCTCCCCAGCCTCTAAGATAAGCAGATGCTTGCTTTTTTTTTTTTGGATCCCCATTCAGCATCAACATCTTTTACCTGCTGAACAGCTGTTAGTTTGTTGCCGACAGCAATTTGGCTATTACAGAATATTTGGGGCTGAACCCATTGCTCATTTACATCTCCTTGATTTACAGGTAAGCTTTTTAAACATAACTTTTAAAAAAATATTTCTACCACTATCAAGACAGCCTTGTGATCTAGGAGTTATCACTTAATGCTCATTAGTCATGTTTCCAACTGTCTCAAACACCCTTCAGGAAGGAAATTTGGATTTGAGGCAGCACTTGTTAAGTACCATCATCCTAGAGAGCTTCCCACTTCTGCTTAGTTACATTCATGAGACCCCATTAAAAGAATGTGCGTGCACACACACTATACTAGATTCTGCTACTGCTAAATCACAAGATTTTGAACACTTCTTAATTCTGCAATTCTGTGATCCATTGATTACACAAGTTAAGCTGCAGAAGCTAACATTTTAACAGTATTACCAGCCACTGCATCAACGGTATTAGGTATCTGACAGATAAATGCTTAGCAAAACAATTATACACTCACCTTAAGCCCAATCTGACTAGGTTGCTGAGTTGATAGCTTATCGTCGTCTTCAGACAAACACTTTAACCCACGTAGGCCTTAACAAGGTATCTGCAGTGACCGCTGCCACCTCCCTTAGCAGTTTGCTGTTCACTGGAGTGAACCTCGCTGAAGCCCAGACTTCGCAGCAGCACGGTCTCTCTTTTTTACTTCCACCGCTCTTGTTGATTTTGCACGTTTTGTTTCTGTCTTGGATTTCTTCTTACTGGGAAGTGTGCTGCTTAAAATGAAACAGCTGTTGTCCTGAATCAATGAAAGACAGCATATTCACAAGTCTAATTTTGAGACACTTCACTTTGGTAAGGACATTACCTACAACTTCTTTAACCTCAGAAGGTTATGGAGTTTCTGAAGTTAAGGAATATTTACTCACCACTACTCTGACATCAAAGTCATCTTCATTATCAGCACCCATGCTGCTGTCATCACTGAAATAGACAAAATTTAAATTGAACTTGATACTCTTATAGTAGCTTAACGTACTTATGTTGTCTTCCTACCACAATCCCTGGCTTCTCGTAATGAGTATGGAAGCGCTACAGCTTGTGGGTGTAAGACTACTGCTTTTACAGGAGGCTGTTCTCAGGGAAGTTTCTGGTAACAGAATTACATCCCAGCTACCAACACAGGCAGGACAAACTGATTTCCACTATGGTCCGTGAGTTTTTACAGCAAGACAACTTCCCAGAAAGCTGGGACAATTTTAGTCCTATTACTGTTACCCACTTTAGTGGCTCACCCGAATACTTCAACACACAAGAGCTACCAGTTTGAGTGGCAAGTGAATAATACCTGAACAGGCTTGTACCTTTACATCATCTTCTAGCTTCCCCATTTTAAGGTGCTAGGTATATTTACAACACCAAGTCACCTTCCTGACTTTTTGATCCACTTATTGTATGTAAATAAACTGTTTTGATCGTGCAGACCTTCCCCAAAATGAAGATTTCAGTCAATCACATTTCAATTGCATGATGTGGATATAGGTTAACAAAAAGGGTAGATTAGAGCTCAATACACCTACAGCTGGGTCACAAAAATCACACACTATTACAGCCAACTGTTCTTCCTCCTGAATTGTTCAGCTCTAGGTGTAGCAGACTGCACTGGATCTGGCTGGGGTAGCTTGCTTTGTAGCAGCCCGTAAGGTGCTCTGCTTTGGATTTGCGATTGCAAGATTTGTGTCTGTTGCTGAACAGTGCCTGGACAGCTTCACAACTTGCCTTTTCCTCGTTCTGTTCCACCCAGCCCACCCTCAAGCAAGCAGGCTACAGGTGAGCAAGAAATAGGAGGTGGAGACAGCAAGAGCGCCCACCTGAACTGACCAAAGGCTGATTTCATACTGTGTAGCATCAGGTTCAGCACCAAATACCAGGGGCTTGCTCTTGCCCCCATTCCCTGCTCCCCTGTGCTGCTCAGGGGGAGGAGGTGGAGGAGGGTGGATAGGGGGAAGGTGTTTTTAACTCATTTCTTCCATTTCTCACTCCTCTAGCTTGTCAGCAATAGGTCATAAATTACATTAATCTCCCATGCTGAGTTTTGCCTGTGACAGTAACTGGTGAGTGATCTCCCTGTCCTTGTTTTAACACAGGAGCTTTCTGTTACCATGCCATAGTGGTGGCTCAGCTGTTCATCAGTGCTAAACCACCACATGTGTTACTGACTTACAGGAGTACATTGTCATTTAACCGATCAAAGTCATGCATCTACCTGTTGATAAAGGCATTGACGCTGTATACTCAAATTTGTGTTTTAGTTTAGAACAAGACAGCAAGCTTTTTACTCCCTAAAAATATTAGAGGAACTTACTTCATCTCCTGGATAGGGGAAATGGGACCTTCATCATCTAAATACTTGTGTTTCCGTACTGCCAGACATTCTCTTTCTAAGTCTTCACTAGCTTGAAGTGCTTTCAAAGCCTTTTTGAGATGTTCTTCGTATTTGAGCATTTCAATGTACTGCAAATATCCCCTTGTAGCTGCTTGCTGAAGAAAAAAAAACATCAGGCAAGATTTTAAAAATACCACTATGATAAAGCAAAGAAATCAAGTCTTTGTACTATCAACCAAATTGCAGTATTAAATTGACACCCTTATTTCAGCTGTGCTTTTAAGGTATCAAACAGAAAACAGCAATTGTCCTGCCTAACAAAAATACAGCCAGCTTTGCTTCACTGTATGTAGCACGTCAGGTAGAAGCAGAAAACAGCCAAATTACATTCCCTGTTTTTAAAATAAATTCAAAATTAAAACATTTCTGCAGTAGAACAGGACTCACCTCATAGTTAAGAACCATCTTTAAGGGAATATGTTTTGTCCCATAATGTTTTTCAACAAAAGGAAACTGAACACCCCGATGTAGAAGCCTTTCCCTCTTCTCTTGTGGAGAGGCTGTCAGTGGAGGCCTCCTAGTAGGCATGTATGTGTGCTTATGCCTTGTCCTTGTCTTTGTCTTTGTCTCAGTCTCCGTCTTCGTCTTCCTCCTCCTCCTTTTACTCCGAAAATTGTTGTGTGCAGCAGTTTTAAACTTCCTTCCCCTGAAGTGATAGGCAAAAATGGCTTTCAAATTAAGCTTGGATTTCTTCTCTTTGGAGGGTTCAGGTAGCTTCACTGGACTCAGAGGAGATGGAGAAGAATCTGAACTTTCATCATCATGCACTGTTATAACGTCTTCCACTTGTTGCCTTGAAGGTTGTGATCTCCTTTTTTGCTTTGAAGGTTCAGTGGTGTTGTACTCACTGCCACTAGAAGCAAAAAGGTCACCCAAGAAACATTTACTTTCAACAGAATACGTAAATTCATGAGGTATCATGCAGGTTTTGTGCATGAAAAGTTCTCAAACTAGCAATAAAAACTCACATTTCTGAATCACTGCTGTCCAGGATGACCTGAACTGAAGACTCCTCAGGAGTGGCACCCTTCTGCCTTGAGCGCGAGCATTTCCTTTTGTTATTTGTGTGTTCATGTAACATGTATGTTTCTTCCTGTTGAGTGCATATTAGATCTTGGGCATCAGGGTAATCGGAACCAGAAGCCTGGGATTCATCCATATCAGTCATGTTTCAATCTGTCCTGAAAACAATGAGCATTCAAGAAATTAAAGAAAATCCTATGTTAGCCAGGCAAACCTCCCCTGCTCCATTTCAAAGGGTTCACTTAAAACAATTTGTGTGCAAACTTTTACATGAAGTTCTCCTGTATATGGACACATGCATGTAAGCCAGCAGCTTAACTTTAAAGGATGCTGCAGTTCTAAGCCACACTCAAGCCCTCACTTCGCTGTAGTTTATAGTAATTTTGAATTTATCCAGGCCTGTTGGCATGAGAAACAACGCCATTTCCCTGTTCTTTAAGGTTTCCTGCTGTAAAAATCTATTAACATTTTGTTTACTGCTTAGTAACAAAAACTGAGACTAGCCCCAAAAGAGAAAAGTAATTTTCAGCTCAATCTGCAATGCAATCCACCCCTTGAACTACATAAATCTATACAAAACAGACTGGAACACACAGCAGAGGAGCCTGCCCTCACTGTGTAATAGCCTAGAGTCATTTAATCCGCATGCCAGTCATTTACTAACCTCTAGTTCTCTATCTTGGGAATTTTAACATGCTTTTTACATATATAAACCAGCTGTAATAGATAAGATTAACATGCCAAAACAAATGGTTACAAGACTGTGACTACTCACAGGACTAAGTTCCATTTCCTACCCAACCCATACAGCTACAAGCTATGATCAGAAAAAAGGTGACAAATACCACAGGACTATATTGCAGCTGCTGTTACCGTAAAAGCAGCAAATAAAACACTCTAAGACCTATTTGAAAATCTTAGCAAGTGGGCATTCTTTACAATCAAAGCTGAAGCACTGGAGACACGCGTGGATTGCTCCGCCAAAGCGCATCTGCCTTCTCAAGGCTGACAAAAAAAATACATTTATATATAGTCACAAGGTTTACATATTCATTATATTTCTTGAAAAATACATACATATTACTATTGATTTACTGAAATTATGTATATATGTTCCTCCCATCCGCACAGATTGAAGCGGTGGCCAAAGTAGTTGTTGCAGTCTCTTTGCCTGCTGATTAACTCTGAACCCCTTTACACTATTTTTTCCTTAAATAGCGTTGTTTTGCTGACGTGCCAGCAAAGTTACACGTGCTCTTTAATTTCTTTATGTTGCAACACTTCCTCCACTTTGATTTATTAGTGCTTAACTAAGCGGAACATGTAATACAAAATTCCTCACGAGGCAGGACATATAGTAGAAGGTTCCTTCTATGCTAATATTGGTGAAATTCAGGCCAAGAGACCTATCAGTATCACTGCACATCAGCAGTTAAGTTATGAACAGCCTACATTTGGGAATGAGTTTTTGCATCATATAACTGTTCAAGGTAGAACTTTTTTTTTTCAAAATTAAAGTAATTTATTTATCAACCTGCACTAAACGCAGATATGGGAGTACAGCAGAACTGAAAATTGACCTCATGGAGTTTCAGAAGCAGCAGAGGGGCCAAACGTGCCCTTCTTTGGTGCCAAATGAAATGCAGAAAGGTACTGTAACTTTCTAAGACTCGTTCTGGAGAGTAAGAAAGCAGGTATGCTTTATTAACAGCAATGGATACATGGGGGATAATTCCACCAACACACGCACCCAAGCACAACAATGAGTACTGATTTATAGTTTGGAGATATATATATTCACACCATTTCCAAGAAAGGTAAGTATTTAATGTTAATGGTTTCTCAGAACTAATCATCATATTGTCCCTCCTACTCTCACATGTGCAGTATCCTCTAGTAGATGCATTTTGGGATCTTTTTGATTAAGGCTCAGTCTTCACTGTGTACTTTTCCATCTTTGTGCATGCTCATTCACTATTTAACTGTTTCAGCAGTTTTACTCTTTACAAGCTCAGCTGTTTTCATTAAGATCTGCTTTAGGGCACTGTGTTCCCTCTTCAGGTAAGTTCTTCCTCACTCTTGTGATCAGAGCCAAGTCTCCCCATCAGCGAGGCTGATACAACTCAGCAACCCCTTTTCGCTTTCAAGTTTTATGTCTTACATTCTGTGTTTCAATTTGGAAATAAGTTTTTGTATCATGTAACCTACTCCCTTCCATGTTTTTTCAAAACTGAAGTTATTTGTTTACAAACCCACGCTAAATGCAGGTGTAGGGGGATGAAGCTCATCCTAACGTGGTTCCAGAAGGGGCAAAGGGGCCTCACTTGTTGCCAGAGCAGCCGCATGGCTGCTCTGCTGCTTGTGGCCATCCACACAAGGCCTGAGCAACGCAAACAATGCAAACAAAAGCACCTGCAACAACACCAGCTTTCCCCACTCAACTGCAGATAACACTTACAGTTAGGGGCTAAGCACCAGCTTCTACTTCGTCTCTCTCACCACGCGGCATGCCAAGCAGCTCCCTGAAAAAGAAAGCCAACCCACTCGTTATACACTGACGGATCTTTTCCCTCGGGAGAGCCAGAAGGCTGCCCAAAGGCGCCCAGCCCCAGGGCGGACATTTCGTGCGCGGCCACCCGCCCTTACCACAGGCCGGGAGCGCCCCGGCAGCCGTGAGGGGAAACTGGCCGCCGCCCTGCCCGCTCCCTAAGGCGATCCCCGGCCCATTCCACAGGCTCGTCCATTCCCCTGGCTCGCTCCTCAAGCAGGCTCCCGGCTACAAGCGCTGGGCGAGCGGGAGGGAGCGGCCATCGCCTCAGCATCGCCTCAGCCTCCCCTCAGCCGGGCGCCTCGCCCGCCAAATGGCGGCGGGCACCGCGCTCCCCCCCTGCCCCTCTCACCTCACGCTCCGGCGCCGCAAAGGGCTCGAAATGGCCGCCCCGGGGACTAAATAGCGGCCGGCTCTCGCGAGAGGAGCTGGGGAGGAGGCAGGGAAAGGAGGAGGGATGGCTGCAGGCTGGGAGGGTCGGGCTGGAGGCGTCGTGGAGGGGGTGGCGGTGCCGCCTCCAGGCAGCCCACTCGGGGGAGGGACTCCCTGGGAGGCGGTGGAAGGGGCTCGGTGCCCTCCCTGTCTCAAAGGGAGCCAGCCCGCTCCCGTCTCGTAGCCCAGCCTGACAGGGGCGCAGCTGCCGGGCTTTCCCCGCTCGCTGTGGGACTGTGGAGAGGAGGCGGTCGCGCAGGTTTGGCTCTGCGGCTCCTGGCGGTAACCGGGGGCTCGCTGTGTGCCGGGCGGGCAGGGAGCGGAGCCGTGCTGCTGCTGCTTCCCCGCCTCCCTCCCTCAGCTGCCCGGCCTCAATAACCCCTTCTTTCTCCCTCTGCTGGCTTCAGCGGCAGCTTTGCTGTTTCCTCTCTCTGCCCTGTTTCCTCGCCTCTGCCTGATGGTCCCTCAGGGATCCCGGTCTGGTCCCTCCTGACCCGCTCCTCTCCCGGTCCCGTCCCTCGAGCTGTCCCCGCGGCCCCCTGCATCCCCTCATCTTCAGAGTTTCTCTGAGACTTGAACTTTTCCTTTCACGTTTCTGCCTTCCAAATTAGTTTTACTCCAGGTTTTGATACCAGGCACTCCCCACGCCATGAACGTGCTTCCTATTTATCTGCATTCTCCTGGCCCTCACCAAATCTCAGATTTTGTCTTCCTGCTTGGAAAAGAAAAACTAAGAAGTCTTTTCGCATGCTTGTCTCAGTTCTTACTGCACCATTCCAGATCTCTTCCTAATAATCTCACTTATTTTGACACTTCTGTCCATGACACACCAACGCTACTTTGAAAGATTGCCCACTGTCTCCTTCCCTGTTCTCCCTCATCCACACCACACACACTCCCTACAAATGCTGTCCGTAGGCTGGTGACTAACTGATCTACCTCTTTTTTTGCTTGCTTCCAGGTCAACTACTACATAGCAATTGGATGGTGTTTTTTATGGGACACTGAGCTTTACCCAGTTTTTCTGTTTCGTGATTGTGGTGAGCTGACTACTGTCCTTTAACCAGCAGGTGATGGGCTAGGTGTTACATTTGAACCTACTTGTTTGAACTGTGTCCAAGTCTTGCCTCAGTCCTTTGCACAATACCAGGTCTAGCCTCAATCTATTTCATGGTTTTTCCAACTGGTGTCTTGAATTCTGGCACAGCTTCCTTCTGGATGTGACAAAAGGTTCTTGAGGAGATGAGGATGACTTAAAACAATGCTGCCAAAGCCATCTTCACTCTTTGATTGAATAACTCCCTTTCTTGTGTTCACTGCACACTTAAAGTCCTGGAGTCTGATTTAATCTATCTAAAGGTAGAAAGGTAGGTTTGTACCAGAGGCACCACATCCAGCCTGTTACCTTCTCTTCCACAAGCCAAGGAAGGGAGAGAGTCTCTCATGGAGATGGATAAGACCAACTAAGATGATAATTAGCACAGATAGCTTTCTTTCTTCCTTTCTCTACTGTTTGCAACAGCAGTGCAGACTCAAGAGGACAGTTGTATAAGGACAGTTGTGTGTTTGTTTTTTTTTCAAAAAAATATTTTTTTCAATCGTAAAAGCTAGGAATTTATTTTTAATGGAAGCTAACAGTATACATTAGCAGGTAGCTCATGTCATAGTCCTTTCTAACAAAAGCTCTGTGAGATCTGGGAATGCAATTTAATTTTTTGGCTTTTTCCCACAAAGCCTGAGATCTGAATGTGTGGGGCACATTTTCTTTTTTTGTTGTTTGCAGTAGACATGTGCCTAAGGAGTTAATGATTGCTGTGGCTGAATTATAGATAGCGTATAATCAGATGTTTGTGCCCAGAGCTGATGGTTTGCCCTAGTAGCTGACTTTGTTGTTGAAAGGCTAACTGAAATAGAGCTCACTTCAAAATGGACTATTACACTTATGTTCCAAACAGAACTTTTTGTTATGGGCTTTGTACCCATACAGGGCCCAATATGGTAGAACTTGCTGCTGTTGTTTCCTCTTTTGAGAAGTGCTGCTAGCCTGTTTCCCTCTGGAAAGGGAAGCACTTGCCCATAAGCAAGTGGAGACCATGTTACAAACAGAGTTGAAAGTCCGCGGTACCTAATGCTTGAAAGAGTAAACATTAACGTAGGGAAGACCTGGGGAGGCAACTAGCATGCTTTAGAAAAGCCCAGTTTTCTTTCAAAACAATTTATGGCTTCTTCCAAAGCACATAAGCAAACCTCAAAGCTGTTAGTCTTTCCCTTGAAGACATAATTGCAATTCTACTGTTGTCTATGTATTCTTGCATGAATTTGAAAAACAAGTTACGTATCGAAAACAGACTGTTTTAATCACTGAACCATTACTCTTGCTGACAGATCAGTCACTTCTACAGCGTGTGATAATATATTTCTTACCTGAAGAAATCAGTAACAATTAGGAAATGGCCAAAGTTGAAAGGTTTGCTTTTCATGTTCCAAGCCTGGAGGAGCTTGCTGGAGGTAAGTCATGCAGAGAGTGTAACTTTTTACAAACTTAAAATGTGCCCTTCAAACTTACTTTAAAGCTTTTATCATATCCTCTCTACAGCTAATACATGCAGAATGTTCTTGCTGTTAGCACGCTAGGATGTAAAGAAAAATACTGTTTTTTTATACACTGTTCTTTAAAACAAATGACACCTCCCCTTCCCCCCAAAAAATCTTGCCAGATAATCTTCACATGAATGGAAACATGACAGGCAATATCCTGTAAGAGCAGACACTTCCAGACGGTGTCTGAAGATTATAATCAAGCAATTGCAAACAGTCTAGTTCATGTATTTCAAAAAGTCATTGCCTTGTCAGCTAAAACTTACTTCCTTCTTTGCTCTCATATCATACTTGACTGTGATCATAATTTCCTGCCCTTGTGAAGCAAAAACACTGCTGAATGTAGTTTAAGGTTATCCATGTTACTTCACAGCTACGGTATGTCAATTAAAAGCTTTGTAAAATTCATAATTAATGTGGTAACTAATAATTCTCTGAACAAGCTCTTTATCTTATGCAAAGTTCTGGCTTGAGAAACAATGCATATATAGGCACTAACATTCGAATTAATAGATTTAAGATAGATTTACTTAGAGTAAGTGTATTTTGCTGAAATAAAGTCTAAAAATATTTTGTGCTGTTAGTTAACTTGTCTACCCCTCGATAATGTTTCATTGCCAATAACTTTGCCATTACTTTTTTATTACAGTTTTGCAGAAAGGGCTTAAAGAAAACTTTGCTGATGCTCAAGTCTCTGTTATAGACTGTCCTGATCTGACTAAGGAGCCTTTCAACTTTCCTGTTAAAGGTAACCTAGTGTTCCTGTCTTCCACAGAGACTTCTGCAGTTCTTGCTACCTGACTGTACTTGGTTTTGATCTTCTAGAGATGTTAGGAAAGCTTAGATCATTTTTTAGGTACAGAATATGTGTGAGAGGGAAGCTACATTTTACTCTTGGATTTGCTTCCTAGTTGATGTACGAACAAGGACAATTCATTCAAGTGCTTGTCGTCATTTTCTTTCTTAACCTATGATTGCAATACACACTTAGGAAATAAGCTTTATTTATTAAACTCTAAAGGTTTTGAAATGAAGTTATCTTCCAGCTGGATAAATGTTTTTGATCCATGCCAATCACTACCTGAACCTAAGGAGCTGTGCTTCCACTTGGTGTAAATTCCTTCCTTCCATGTATGTGAAATGAAAGAAACTGTCTTATTTTGAGTGGGATTCATTGTCTTTGACATTAGCTGTTTAGAAGACAGATGCCTCATGTCATTTGTGCTATTCATCTGAGTTCACTGTCATCAATGTAGGTAAAGAAGCACCTTGAGAAGGTGATGCATCCCTTCTAAAATTTGAGTCTGACTTTCTAAAGAAATTTTAGGAACCAGTTCTTTGGTGCATTAGACTGCATGCTTACTTGAGAATTTCACAGAAAACATTTTACCAAGCTAAATCTCTGTATTCTTCCAGGAATCTGTGGAAAGCCTAGAATAGCAGATGTGGGAGGTGTTCCTTACCTCATACCCGTTGTGCAGAAAGAAAAAGTGAGTTTTTCTCTGTAGTAGCTGTGGGTTTTAAATACATTTTTAATAGAAAAGGGATATTGTGTTGAAATAAAAACAAAACCAAGGACTAATGGCCACTATAAGATTCCACTTGTGAAAGAGTGTTAGTTTTCAGTGTTCTGTTAGATTGATTCCGATGCACAGACTGCATCAGGAAATCTTACAGATCTTAGCAAAAATTTCATATGCTGTCTGGTATCTGGCAGTCCATCTTCTCCTGCCTTCAAATACCAGATAGTATTGAAAGCAAACAATTTGTGACAGGAGCCATGGAAACAAATACTAAACAAGGGGCTTGTCTGTGTGCTTATATATGGCTTGTTGAAGTTGGTGATTCCAAGTCACAGTCGTGCTTCTTTGTAAAAACTGTCTGTATTTGCATTTTCAAGCCAAGACTAGATTCACATTACTGTTCTTTTCCAAGAATATCATGCTTCCTTTCTGATACCTGGCCCTATCTGTCTCTATATGATATTCTCTTTCATGTGATTTCTTTTTTATCTTATACAAATACAGTTTTGAATAGAAACAATCATTCAGCTTTTGGTAAAATGGCAGGGGAACATACAGGCAGACTCTCTCTTCCACAAAATGGTCAGGGCTGTACCCAACCCATTACTACTAAATGTTCTGTTGTTCAGACTTGAGAACTGTATTCATCCTAATTATACCAAATACCAATGAGCTGTTGTGAATGAAATGCATCCAGAGGTTACAGTGAACAGAATGGTAACTCCAGATCACAGCAGAACACCACAATCAAAAGTTTGTGT